GTCTCGTGGCTGTCGTTGCGGTGGCCCGGAAGCACTGCTCAAAGTTTGTCCACGCCGTAGACTATGGAGTACTCGTATGCCAATCGAACACCTTTGCGACGCCTTAGTCCTGGGCTCCGTTCGAGTCAATCCTGGACCTAATCCCAAATCCCAACGCGCGATGGGCGGCGCTACCGGTCTCCAGAAAAAAGTGCGGCCATTACCTTATCGACGAGGAAATCCACGAGCTGTGACTAGCTCAGGGGCGGGAGCAGCGTTTGCGAGGCCGGGAGGACGAAGACATGTGACCTGCAGCTGACAGCCCTGCGCTAAAGAGGTCACTGCTCGCTAAGGGACAGGGGGGGTTTGGGGGCTTGGGGGCCTAGCCACAGCGTCTGCTAGTGGCCCATGCACGCTATAACAAGCCGCTGCAACGGTGGGAGCGATCCCTCCATCTCGTCTGGTGAAGAATGATGGATGGGAGGGGCGGGCAGATGGATGGCAGATGACTTGCTCTCGAGACCTCTTTGGTCGAGTCATCATAACGATTTCCGATTCTCAAGATGCTGGTGCCTCAACTATATATTTCCCCTGGATAGCCGCTCACATCGTCTCGATCCCCCACGTGTTGCAATTGACTCTGGCTATTGGCTGGTATCTATAGGTTCCTTTGCCCAAAACGTCCAAACTGTTTACCTCTCCCTCTATACTTGACACTACCTAAGCTGAGATGCAGCTTCACATTGCTACCTTATGTACATACATACTAATCTATCCTAACATCTGCTGCAGGGCGTTGATCCTATACGATTCGCTCCTCTCCACAAGCTCCTCGTGACGTCCTCTATCGACCACTTGGCCGCCTTCGACCACGAAGATCACGTCAGCCTTGCGGACTGTGTGTAGCCGGTGAGTGATGGCAATCACGGTGATGCCTCTGGCTGCCTGCTCTAGGCCTTCTTGCAGCGCCCTTTCGCTCTCTGCGTCAAGGGCACTGGTACTTTCGTCGAGCAGCAGCAGCCGCGGCTTTCGCACTAGTGCTCTCGCAATGGCCAATCTTTGGCGCTGGCCCCCAGATAATCGAGATCCGTTGGGACCACATTCTGTCTCATAGCCCTTGGGCAGCGACATGATGGTGTTGTGGATGTTGGCTAGCTTGCAGGCTTCTTCAATCTCCGAGTCGGACGCCTCGTGACCTGGCACGGCACCGAGTCCCACGTTGAACTTGATGGTTCCATCGAACAGGGCACAGTCCTGTGGCACTACGGCGATATCATGACGGAAATCCACTCCCTCACGAGCGCAGATGTCAACCCCGTCGATTTCGACGGCTCCACCAGTAGGGCGATACATTCTTTGAACAAGTGACATGATGGTGGACTTGCCAGCTCCCGATGGCCCCACGAGACCACAGAATTGGCCGGCCGGTATCGTAAATGACATGCCTTTGAGAATCTGGATGTGCGGCCGAGCAGGGTATGCAAATGAGACATCACGGAAAGTGATTGTGGCGCCACCACGACTTGAGTTGAGCACGCGACTTGAGACTGCATCTGGAATGGCTTCAACATCCTTCTCTCCGCGTGATGAAATTTCAGGCTCAGTGTCCTTGGCATCAAGGCGTTTAGAAGACCCAAGATTGATGAGACTCAGGATTCTGGATGCTGCTGCTCTGGACCGCGAGACCTCAGGGGCCAATGTAAACATCTGGCCCCACAACTGGGCACTCACGAGCATGGCCATGAGAATGATGAAGAATTGAGCCTGGCTGTACTCTCCTTTTGTGATTCTGGTCGAACCCCACCAGTAAGCAAAAGCATAGATGAGGTTGCCGATACTGTTGGCGATGGCCAGCCAAAAGTTGGTATAAGCACTGGACAGGGCCATCTCCCGTTGCGGAGCCTTGAGTGCTCGACGATAAGTGTGCAGGATTTCTTCTTCGATTGAAAGCGAGGATACGGTTTTGAAGGATGTGACAGCTTCGACAGTGATGCCGAGCGCATTTGAGAATGCTCCGGCATGCTTGCGCTCAAAGCGCGAAAGGGACCGTACTTGCATGATGCCCGAACCTAGGAGTATAGGGACTGTGACCAAGCACACAATGGCAATTTTCCACGCAATAATGTGCGACAGAATGATGGCAACCAAGAAATTGACGACAATGGAGAACATTGTTCCCATGATAGATCCGCTGAAGCCACCAACAGCAGCAGCATCTGCTGTGATGATGGAGAGCAACGAGGATGGCGAACGACCTTCTGCCTGATGCCAGTCGAGTTCTTGTTCATACAACGATCGGAAGGTGAGCACGCGTATTTTATAGAGAAGCTTTTCCGCAATGTAGCCAAAGCCATACCAGCTCCCCGTGTAAGCGAACAGCTCAACGACCGCCAGCATGAAGAAAAGACCGCCAAAGAACTTGCCTGCCCATAGAATCTGATGGGTCGAGTTGCAGGGACTCACTTTTTCGACCGTGTTGCCAAAGATGACACCTGCTGAAGAGAACGTGCCACCAACGATGACGGCGGAGAAGACGGCCAAGAGGAGCATCAGTAGATGCGGTCTAAGCATGCGACCAAGGCTCTTGATGATTGTCCAAGCTGACTGGCTGTCATCAAGTGTCTTGTCTTCTGCTGCAACAGGCTCTTGTCCGGATTCCTGCACATTTGAAGTAGAAGCTGAGAGCTCTTCCTTTGTCGTCGGAATCGCTTCATCTAGAGAAGCTTCCTTCTCTGAGAGTATGATGTCGGCATCACCCTTGGACGTGCTCGACAGAGATGGCGTGTCGTCATGTTCTTTGGACGCCAGATTCTGTAGGCGGACCATTCCGGCATACGAGCCATCCAGGGCCATGAGCTCCAGATGAGTGCCTTGCTCAATGATTTCGCCATTGTTCATAACGATGATGTTGTCGGCGTTCTTGATTGTGGACAAGCGATGCGCGATGGCGATAATGGTACGACCCTTGGAGATGGACTCGACTGCCTCTTGGATGCGTCGCTCACTAGCTGAATCCAGGGATGCTGTAGCTTCGTCGAGGAGAAGGATCTTGGGGTCTCGGATCAGAGCACGAGCAAATGCCAATCTCTGCCTCTGCCCTCCGCTGACGAGCTTTCCGGCAGTGCCAACAATGGTTCCATATCCGTACTCCAGTCTGTCAATGAAGCCTGAAGCGTCAGCCAGGGACGCAGAGCTGCGGACCATTTCAATGAGTTCAGCCATGCCCTGACTATGCGCCTGTGCGACGGTAGTCAAGTCTTGTCCCTCTCTGACCTTTGCTGCCACTTCAGCAAGCCCCTGCCCTAGGATGATGGATTGGAATTTTTGATACTTCTCCCATGGCGAGTTGAATAGTCCCAGTGCAATATTTTCCAAGATTGATCGATCCAGGAGCGATGGTTCTTGTTGAACCAAGCTGATGAAGCTTCTCAAGTTTTTCACGTTCAGTTGCTTTAGGTCATGTCCGTCGAGCAACACTTCTCCATCTTGAGGGTCGTAGATCCTCGTCGTCAAGCCAGCTACGGTAGATTTGCCGCTACCAGAGAGTCCGACTATGGCGGTATACTTGCCAGCGGGACAGTCAAAGGAGACGTTTTTTAGAACAGGTTGATCTGGCCGAGAGATGTAGGCAAAGGTGACGTTTCGGAATGAAATCGAGGCGGCGGCAGAATCCGAGAGTTTGAGGCCGGCGTCGGATCCCGAGTTGATGATGGCTGGAGTGTCGATATCTTGCCGCAGCTTTTGGAATGCAGTGGACGCACCGCCTAACAGAGGCAAGAGAGGCGCGATTGAGCCGAAGACAACACATGCTATGTTAAGCTGTCAGCAAAGACTTGAATCATCCCTATTATCGTTTGGAGCTTACCGTCCACAAGGAGGAATATCACGGTGTAAATCTCTCCCACCGATACGCCGCTGGGGTCAGCAATTGTCTTGACAATCTGGTGGCTGCCTTGCCAAAAAGACAAGGCATTTGCCGCGTAGGCAATGAAGTAGAGAGTGCCGGCTTGGACGGCTGCGGCAAATGCTTTCTTGATGCCCTTTTTCTGAGCAGTCATCATGTGGGAAGAAAACTTGGCCTCCAGGCGTGGCCCGGCACCAAAAGCCTGGACAACTGCGATATTGGACAAGGTCTCTTGAGCAATGGACGAGGCAGATCCTATCGCGTCGGACATGGCACTGGTAAATTTCGCCGTGAATGCACTCCCAAGACCGGCCATGAGGAAGAAGGCGGGTATAAGGGATAGGAGCATGGCCGCAAGCCTCCAGTTCTTGATGAAGGCGACGATGTACGCCGTCAAGAAAAAGGACGTGCAGGCGATGCAGATGCCAACCTTCTCGGAGGTACCCGACTGAACAGCCTGTACGTCTGCATTGAGGCGAGATGACAGCTCACCGGCCTGACGTTGATCGTAAAAGGTCGCGTCTTGCTGCAGCAGCGCCTGGAAATAGCGGTCTCTGATGCGCGCTTCCAGTCGACGGCTGAAGATGCTCCAGCAGACGATGTAGATGTATATCAGGGCAAAGCTGGCGATGCCGATGTAAGTAAGCTCGAGCACCTTGCTGTCGATGGAGGACTGGATGCGCGAAGCCTCGTCTGCGTCAGGGGTTTGGGCATCGCAGCTGGCGGTGTTGAGGTCGTCAACGAGCTGGCCGAAGAGGATACCCATGAGAGGGAATGGAACTCCTGCTGCCGCTGCGGAAACTGTGCCGGTGACGAGGAGGACAATGTCGATCCATTTTGGGTTGGCATAGACGAGAAGCTGGAAGTAGACGAAGAATTCCGAGATGAACTACACATGTTGGTGAGCATCGTCATGTCTGCAGACAAAGATTGGGCAAACTGAACTAACATTTTTGGCCTTGTTTTGCTCTCCTTTAGCATTGGAGCTGGATTCTACCTTGGCTTCATTACCGCCGTGAGGCACCACGGCAGCTTCAGTCACGCCATTGGGGACTGCTGCGTCGTCCTGAGCGGCCATTACTGACGAGTAGCGGTTTGTGGATGGAGATTCTACAAGCCGCTACACTCTCATGGCCTATCTCAGCACATGAAGAGATGGAATGGTCTGATGTTCAAGATGGAATCGCCGTCAAAACTACATGTAGCTGCACAGCTGCCGGCAGTTGAGCGTCTAGTTGCCGTCACGCGAGGTCCGCAAATCTTCTAGCTCTGTCTGCATGATCGACAGCAGACGCGAAATGGATCCGGGTAATACTGAAGGGACACTGCCATGATGCCTTCTCTACTCCCTGGAGCTAGTCCACACTGAACTCACAGCAGCTCTGGAGGGACCCTTGATGAGCCAGCAGGGTATCATTTTTTCTTCTCTCTGAGCCACCAGTTATTGCTGCTACGTGACGAGATGCTCCACGACAAGACCGACAATATCCACCGCTTGGGCTCGTGAAAAGGACACAAAGTACCGTTTCGTAACTCACATGTTCCTCCATCCGCAGAGATACACGCCCCTCCTCGAGCGAATCCTTGTCTCGCACCTTGTACCGGTACATTGTGTGGCCCAAAGCGGGACCTTGTTCGGATCAGATAATTTCTCTCCGCGCAAACGTCTCCACTAAGCGTCCGAGGATCGGCCCAGAGATAATCAAAGAACGAAACTTGGCATGGGGGGAAACCAAAGAAGAAAAAAAGCATTGCGTAAAGAGAACTGGGGCCCCGAAAAAATAAATGCCTCTTTATCCTTGGGGCCGCGCTGAATTGCTCGGTCTTCGAGGGTGGAGCGTCGGCCGTCCGGGTGTCCGGGATTTTCATAGCCTCACGGCCTCGGCCTCGGATCTGATAAGATGGGACGCCCTGCGAGCTGCATGGACGGAGTAACTCGGTGAATTGCGTGGGCTACCTGGGTATAACTAGGGGGGAGCCATTTTGTGCTCACACGCCCCCCTTGGACCTTTGGATGGGATGTTTTTTTCGAACTTGCAGATGGTGTTTTGCTCTAACGGAACGGAGTAGTCCCGCTTCACACATCTTGGCGTCGATGGCAGTGACGAAGCAACAATGATCTGCTCTGTGCCATTTTCTGTATTGAAGTCATCGAGTCCTAGTATCGGCGTCTTGACGGCTCGGACATCGTTTCGGCAGATCGCGGCTCAAGCGGTTTCGTCGCAGCAAGCCAAGCGCTGGCGGACCACAAGCTGCTGCTCCAGCAATTCATCCTTTTCCTCGATCAACACTCGACCGAATACTAGCAACCGGAATCTCTTGAGCCCTGTCCAGCTCCGTGGCCTTCATTGCTCATCACATCTCCGTCTTGCTACCGAAAGCACTGATATTCCAGCTCACGCCATTATGGGTTCGATTCCGGATACTGCCCCTGTCGTTAGGGTCTTTATTGCTGGTGGTTCTTATGCTGGCCTCTCTACGGCTGTCAACTTGCTTGATCTGGGTGATGGCTTGTCACCGCGCATGGCACGTGAGGAGTATACACACCACCCTAGTGTTCCGAAAGTGAACTTCCAAATCACTATTGCTGATGAGAGAGATGGCTACTGTAAGTTGTACCAATACGTCTGCATCATTCCTGGTGCTGTAAGACCCAAGGAGATTCTAATACGATATAGATCACTTGATCGGCTCTCCATTGGCTCTGGCAGAGTCAGAATACGCAAAGAAGGCCTGGGTCCAGTTCCAAGATCTCCCTGCTCTGCAAGTCCCCAACGTCCAATTCGTCCAGGGCTCAGTGTCAAGCGTTGATTGCGATGCCAAGACAGCAACTGTTGTCGATAGCATCACAAAAGAGCCCGCCACTCACCAATACGACTACTTCGTCACCGCTACAGGCTTGAGGAGGGTGTGGCCTGTCGTGCCCCAGTCTTTGACTCGAAAGCAATACCTTCTTGAAGTTGAGGCGCAAATCAAGGCTCTTGATGGGGCCAAGGATGGCATTCTCATTGTCGGTGGCGGTGCTGTTGGCATTGAGATGGCTGCCGAGCTGAAGCATGTGAAGCCTCATCTCAAGGTGACTTTGGCGCACTCACGAGACAAGCTCTTGTCATCCGAGCCGCTGCCCGACGAATGCAAGGACAAGGCTTTGGACTTGGTCAAGGAAACTGGTGTCGACGTGTTGATGAGCCATCGCTTGGCCTCTTCTACAAAGGTCGAATCCCCTGATGGCTCATCGAGATATGAGGTCGAATTTACGAATGGACATAAAATGACTGCTAGCGCGGTCGTCATGGCTCTCTCCAAGAGCATCTCGACGGCTTCATATCTCCCTTCGTCGGCCACCGATTCCGAAGGTCTCGTCAAGATCGTGCCCAAGTAAGTTCTCACCTTGCGATTCCTTAACGGAGCAAATCGCTAACATTTATGCTCTCTTCCTCAGTATGAGCTTCGACCCTAGCACCCCTAACGCCACATCCCATTTCTGCGCCGGCGACGTAGCCAAATGGTCCGGCATCAAGCGCTGCGGCGCCGCCATGCACGGTGGACACCTCGTTGCGAACAACATTCACCAGCTGGTACTGCAGCAGGTTGCGCAGCACCAGCCCAAGTTCCAGGAACTGCCGGAGATTCCGCCCATGATTGGGTTGGCGGTGGGCAAGAATGCTGTTGCGTATGGACCGGATGAGGGCGTTATTTCGGGTCCTGAGGTGATGCAGGCATATTTCAGGGATGACTTGGGCTGGGGAAGTAAGTTATTTTATTCATGACCTGACCAATCTCTTTATGTTCAGGATGCTAATGAATGATGCAGTTTGCTGGGATTGGATGCAGCTGGGAGGCCGAAAGTCGGAAGCCAAGGCGTAGGAGACGAGCCCTTCGTAATTAATCGGAAAGAAAGTATACATATTGATAAATGGGTCGATGGGAGAGATTATTGGCGTTTAGGAGGCTGGCATATTGCTTTGGATGGGAAATCCACGAATAGAGTAGATTAAATAAATGTCGTGTTCACGCACCGCCCTGGGCATTATATGTCCAAAGACATAGAAGGATAAGCATGTGTTGTTAGCCTATTCTTTATATGGCAAATTAAATTAAAATGGAATATAATTCTGATTTTGATGTATCAGGGGTCTTAGAGATCCAGATGGAGTTTGAATGAGAACAACGCTCACTATAGTATTGCACTCGACACCTAAAGTTTGCAGTGTACATTCATTAAAAGCTGTATTGAATTATATTTTTTATGTTTACTATTGAAATAATTTGTAATCTATGAAATCATCCACAGGCAACTATAGGAGTAGAACGATTCACACATAATATAGTGAGATATACAATCCCATCATGGCCTATTTTTTCTTTTTTCTTTTTTGGCCACCAACGCCTAAAAGACGGTTCCCTTGACCTGCTTGTGCTGTCTCACATCAATGTTTCTCCACATTGCCGTGCCAACAACAGACAATGATAGCACGGCAGTGCCAGCAATCAGCATCATTTTCTGGCTATCACCATATGCCTGCTGAATAGCGATACGCTCGGGAGATCCCATCGGGTAAGACAGCTGAACATCCAGACTTCCGTAGATGTCTGTCAGATTTCCTTGCGCAGACTCGGGAAGATATTGTCCCAACTTCTTTGGGAAAACGGCCTGCCAAACTGCAGCGGCGACAGTAGATCCAATGGCACCACCAATAGACGAAGCCATGGCCTCTACAGCCAGCACAACCGCGACATATTGGTGAGAGGTCGCTGCCATGATGGCGGTTTGTTCGCAGATAACAATGGTACCACCAGCAAAGGCAATGAAGATCTGGCACATGATAATGTATCCTGATAGTAAGGGGGGAACTATTAGTAAGAGGTATAGTTGACATGTGATGATGGGGATGGCCGTAGTCTTACCTATGTTAACATCGGGCTGACGGAAGTGAATCATCAAGCCAACGCCAAGAATGGTGACCGGGACTCCAAAGAAGAGGCAGATGGGCTTGAATTTTCCGGTGTAGCGAATGACGAAGCCAACCAAGATTGCCCACAAGCAGGAACTATTGCCTTGTTAGCGATACAGTCACCCATGGAGGAGATGGTTTCTCGTCTCATACCCTATGCTATAGATGTTGCCAACATAGCTGGACTCAGTAACGTTAAGCCCGTTGACCACTTGGAGGAAGCTGAGAAAATAGCTGTCCCAGATATAGAAGCTGACGAAAACAGAGGAAGCGAGGATATTGGCGCCAATGACAGTGCGGTCCGTGAGAAGAGAGTAAGGAATAAAGGTAACGGCCGCAAAGAAACGTTCCCAAATGGCAAACACGATGAGAGCAACGAATCCTCCAACCAAGAGGCCGATGATGAGAGACGATTTCCATCCATCGGATTGGTAGGAGTAGATGTTGAATGGGAGGAGGAACATAGCCAGTCCTCCAGACAGAATAAGCAGCCCGATGATATCAAACTCTCGACCGTAGTAGATCAAAGATTGGATAAAAGTTCCCTTGTTTTCTCGCGGGCGGATTACGCCGAGCTGCTTCGCCTTCTTGTTGTAGTGCATGAAGAGGAAGAAAAGCGGCAGGGTGATGACCGGAGTGATGATGGCGAAGCTACCAAACCCCCATCGGAAACCGGGTCCGTTCAAAAAGGCACTGGAGATAGGACCGGAGAGCCATGTGGTAATGATGTAGGGCGAACTACTATAGGCGAAGATGAGGCCTCTGTAAACAACTCTGTGTTAGCCTTCTTCCACATTTGTGATGTACGGGGCACATTGCCAAACTGACCGATTGCGCAGAGATGTTGTATCTGCGAGGAAGACTGAAAGCGAATAGTCCAAGCCGTTGTAGCCAACCCAATAGAACACCTGAGCAGCGGCGTAGGTCTCAACGTTATTGCAGCCAGCCATCATAATCAAGCCGAGTGTAGTAAACGCGATGGAGAGAATGTAACCCTGGGGACGGCCAAAGATGTCGAGGACCTTGGCCAGGGTCAACTTGAAGACACCTCCTATGATGCTGCTCATGACGCTGACAGTCGGCGTTAGGGAGTGTTGCTGGAAGGCGGACGTGACCCAGGGCGTCAGGTTTCCGGTCGTGCCTTGCTGCATGCTGTCGACAAAGTAAATCACCCAGATCATGACAAAGGCAGTCCAGAGCGCGCTTTTGGTCCAGACGGAGGTGACGGCCTCGATGTTCTGCACACCGGCCTGCGCCTTGGAATCAGGGCCGTCATCCTGGTCGGAGTCTTGAGGGCCGCCGACATTGATGTCCAGCTCGCTTTTTCCAGTTTCACCGCCGTCGACGTTGTCGCGCTCGGGGGCTGTTTCGACGGACATGGCTTGGAAGAGACAATGTTAGCCGCCTGTTTCTGGAAGGGAAGCTTACATGACTATCGCAAGCAGAACGGTTTCAAGGCCGTCTTTATGGTTAAAGTTAACCACAACTAGGAGGGGGTTTTACTTACTGGATCCGTAAGTTGCGGCTTCAGAGCTCAATCAAGAGTCGATGATCCCGACCATCGAGGCCATCAGCAGGACCAACGCTACTACTTATTTGCCCCAGAGGTCACCAAAGAAGAAAACTGAGGAGTTCTAGATTTTGCCGCTGACATGGATGACGAAGAGGTGTAGACAGGGTTCGAGGATAGTCGCATGCGGCACTAGTCGTCACTGCACCTACCCAATCAATCCATTGTTTCAATCATACGGAGTACATAGACTTTTGATATGGACCACTTTCTTTCCATGACTTTTCGGATTTCAATCTTCGTTGGGAACATGAAAAGGCCAATAAAAGGCTAGTATGTGAAGGATAAGCGGCCACCAGCACTCCGTCGGTCTCCATCCTGGTCTGGGATCGAGGACGTAGTTCCAACATCCATCTTCTTAGTGGTTTTTAGTATGGATGTGCCGGAATGTGGCGGTTGAACCAAGTTTCCATGTAAGAGCTACTCGTCCACCAAGTTTTTGCGCGGCCAACGTACAACATACAAGAGGCTGGTCGGCACATTTTGCCGCGTAAATGATGGTCCTGTGCTACTATTTCGTAGCCGGGGCAGGGTTCCATCCTTTCTGTCAGGCTATCACTTTCGTTGTGGCACTAACCAGCAGAGACCCATCGTTTCTGTGCCGTAAAAGATTTTTGTTGCCTTCAATCGTTATCACGACGGATCGAGCCAACGGCAATTCCAGGTGACATATCCTGTCTCAACAAATGGAGCACCGGCTCTTCTTTTTCTGGAGCCATGATTCTCACTCGCCCGTCAGTCCCATAAAGGGCCCGAAGCTGCAATACCTTCAATAGCAATATGAATGGACAATAATATGCTGTTGCTGTTGCTGTTGCTGCTGCTCAACTTCAGACTTGAGCCTCGTTTAATCGGTGGTGTGTTCATGTTCTCGAAACGGGTACTCGGCACTTCTTGTGTTCCACGGAATAGGGCAAACCCGCCGACGATGATCAACTTTGCGTATTCAGCAACTTCCTAGTCTAGTGCAAGAAGAAATACGCAATGGTTGGTGGAGAATCTCCCAGGAGGGAAACGACTCGAATTATCAGATCATGTATGTCCAGGGCTTGGATGCTTTTAGCCGCTCCGACAACCGGACGAACCCCAATAAAGTTATCTGATCCGCCCAAAGCGCAAGGATCGGGCGCCACTCTCGTGCTAGTAACGACTCAGAACAGAATCCAGGCACAAAGAAAGAATAACCGAATTATTACGAAATCAAAAGAAGAAGAAGAAGGACAATTTTGGGGGAAAGCCAAGGAACTGAACCGAATATGGAGCGTGCGAGCGAGAGGCGGAGACAGAAAAACTCTGCAGGTGGGAAGCCTGAGCAGATTATCTCCCAGACTGATTGATTAGATCCACTGATCTAGCCCCGACCCAGCAGGGCTGCATCGCCTATCCTTCGGTCGATGGACTCGGCTGGGCTAAGCTGGTTGACTCGTCGCTTTTTCTGCCTCTTACGGACACTGGATGTACTGTACAAGCACCAACATGGGGCCTGGGATGCAGGGGAGGGGGTGTGAGGTCAGGTCCGGGATAGTGCAAGTTGGAGTTTTGGCCTATTCTTTCCAAACTTTGTCTCTGTACCTGTACTCGCACCAACACCTGGACCTGGTCATGGATGGATTCTCTCCAACTCGTACGAGCTTAGAACTGCTAAGCATACCGGTCGGTGCATTCTCGCTGCGTGGTGATCGGCCGTCGATCCTTTCATCACTCACGGCAAGAAGAAGTACATCCGAGCGTCACCTATAGCTCCAATCCCGAGGTGGTTTACTCATGACTTCAGCTGTCTCCATGTAGGTAGTACCGTAGCATACACATGCTAGGGCTGGGCAAATTATGTGCATGTACCGAGTAACCATGAGGCGGAAAGGTGCGGGCATGAAGCCCCTTCGTGTCAAGTCTGTCGGCCGAGGCAGCTTGGCAAACAGCCAGTTGTTTGCGGGTGAAGCTTTACCTATAGCTGCTGTATTAGTAGGCAAATCTATTGTACTTGTAGTATTTAGGTGTTTTTATTCTATTTTGTTATTGAATTTCCTCTCTTTTGCTACCCATTTGTCACTACACCTTTCAGTCTAGCTTCAGACAAGCAGACGACTTACACGCCGCCTTGTTGAAATCTATCCTATTATTCTTTCTTGTTGCTGCAATGGCTGCTGTTTCTCTTTCATCAATACCCCCCGATCAAACCGTGATCAAGCTTCCTCATCCTTATCACACCGAATACACCATCCAGAAAGCCTCGGCCGAGCCAACCTCAGACAACAATGTTGAACACTATCGTCTCAACATCAAGCCCAACGCCTCTTCCGGAAAGAAGCCCCCCGTAGAGCTTCACGCTGCCCACGCCGTCTTTACTGAGCCAATTGATCTCAAATCAAGCGAGCTGCCGCCGCACTCAAATAACAGCGCCTGGGCACGCGCCAGACGATCGCCATGCGCAACCGTGTCCTGGGATACTCTTACAGAGCGTCCTACTTTGGCGCAGGCGTGGCTGATACTCTATGTATTGTTCACTACGCGACCTTCTACAGAAACGCTCAGACTTGAGCTCACCGGCGCAAACGCAATTGTCTTGGGGCAGCAACTGAAGGATGTTGCGCTCGCCATTGACCACCCACTTCGCCCCCAGGAGCAGCCTGGGCCATCCACAACGACGGATAGTATTGTTGTCGTGGCCTTGCGATCAACTTTCTGGCAGGGCGCTGGATCTCCTTTCGGTCCTCGACCTGTTTGGTGCCCCGAGGAATCTTCATCGGCCCTGCCCTCGTCCAACCCGTTGCACTCGTATCCCCTCACGCCTCTCCAGCATACAATGACGATAACTTCAGCCGGCGATCCTCAAGATCCTGACCGACGCCAGCAAACGTGGCATCCGATTCGCCCTGCCAAGCCGGCTCCTGGCGCTGTCATCTACAGTCGATGGATCCCCCATCTGCAAGAGACGTTTTCGATGGTGTCGCTGGATTGGCAAGATGCTGAGCATTTGAGGCTCTTCCATGAGTGGCAGAATGATCCTCGTGTGTCGCAGGGTTGGAATGAGACGGGAACTTTGGAGCAGCACCGAGAGTATCTACGAAAGATGCATGTTGATCCGCACCAAGTTGCTGTTCTGGCCAAGTGGGACGACGCCTACTTTGCGTACTTTGAGATTTACTGGGCCAAGGTATGAAAGACAAAAACCATCACAAGCTCTAGATTACAATCCCGAAGAAAGATACTGACTCAATTGCATAGGAGGATCGGCTCGGAAGCTACTACGACGCCGGAGACTTTGACCGTGGCCGCCACTCCCTTGTCGGCGATGTCCGTTTCCGCGGCCCGCACAGAGTATCGGCGTGGTGGAGCAGCTTGATGCATTACCTCTATCTGGATGATCCTCGAACCATGTATGTCGTGGGCGAGCCCAAGGACAGCAACTCGACGGTCGTCATGTACGATCTCATCCACGGCTTTGGCCTTGACAAGTTTGTCGACTTGCCGCATAAGCGCAGTGCCTTTGTGCGCTGCCACAGAGATCGCTTCTTTCAGCTTTGTCCGTTGGGCGATAATGAGAAGGCAGTTGGTGGTATGAGGATTGGGCTGGTTCCGAAGCTGTAGTTGCATGATGGAGAGTGTTTGAGTAAGCCTTGGTGGAAGTAAATATTCATGTAGTTCTATAAAATACATAGGTTGTTTTGAGATGCCAGTTATCTCCTAAAAGTCCATTTATATATACAATAAGAAACCTCGATATCTTCATTATATCAAGCAAAAACACATAAGCTCTCTCTATTTAAATCATATCCTCCATCTATGTACATGTACTCTATACAACTTCTCTACAGCTTCGAAGTCTTCGCCAGCTTACTCAAAATCTCATCTCCCAGCTTGGCCATCTCGAACTTGCGAATCTTTCCGCTTCCCGTCAGAGGCACATCCGCAGGCACGCCATCCTGGCCCAGCCAAAACACATGCGCCGGGGCTTTGTGGTTGCCCAGCGTCTTGCGAACCCAATCTCTGACTTCCTGGTCGGTCAACTTGTTGCCGCTGTCGCCCAGCTCCACGAAGGCTCCGACAACCTCTCCGTAGTGCTTATTTTTGAGGCCGACGACGATGGCGCGAGAAATGGAAGGATGGGCCACGAGGCGTTCTTCGATTTCCAGGGGATAGATGTTCTCGCCACCTATTTGTACGACGAGTATTAGAATTGAGAGCTGTGAAATGCATTTTGAGTTTCATCTTACCTCTGATGATAATGTCTTTGAATCTTCCCGTGATGGAGCAATAACCTTCCTCATCAAACACGGCCTCATCACCCGTATGTAGCCATAGCACTCCCGCCGCGTCGCGAATCATTGTCTCATTAGTCTTTTCCGAATTGTTCCAGTATCCAGCCTGTAGCTGATATCCAGCCATACAAAGCTCGCCTCGAGTGCCAATCGGCACAATGTTACCGTCGCGATCAACAATCTTGGCCTGCGCGTGTGGCATCAGTGTCCCGACTGTCGTCAATCTCCTTGTTATCGCGTCGTCCGTGAATGCATTGAAGCATGTAGGTGAAGCTTCCGTGAGACCATAACTGCTAGTAAACTCGGTCATACCAAAGCGGTTGACCAGGAGCTCCATCAAATATCGCGGAACTGGGGCGCCAGCAATGATGCCCGTGCGGAGCTTGTCGCACTTGAAGTTGGCCGGGGGTTCGGCCTGGAACAAGGAATCAAACATCGCCGGAACTCCGTGGATAGCAGTGCACTCTTCGTCGGAAATGGCCCTGAGTGTGGAAGGAATGTCAAATACCTCTGCTGGGTAGACAATCTTACCGCCGTGAGTGACGATGGCCAGGAGGCCGAGGACAAGGCCGAAGCAGTGGAAGAGCGGCGGCGGACAGCACAGGACGTCCGAATGTGTCAAGCGCATTCTGTCACCGATGAATCGAGAATTGTTGACCAGATTACTACAGAGAATGAAATGTTAGCATAGGCGAGACGAAGAGAGCAGAGAGCAGGATTGGATTGAAACATACTGATGGGTTAGCATTGCTGCCTTTGGTAAACCCGTTGTGCCGCTTGTAAACTGCAGATTGACAACTTGGTGAGGAAGGACCTTGCTCATAGCTCTATACAGCTTCTCATGGCTTTGTCGAGAACCGGCCTTGACGAGCTCATCATACGTTGGGTATTTGTCGCCCTCCCCCCTCAGGATCACAACCTGGATGGGAGAAGCTTCATTGTGCAAATCTTGCAGCAGCGCCGTGTTGTCCGTCCGGCCAATTGTACGAGTCACAAAAAAGACCTTGCAATCGGAAAAGGTGAGGCCGTACTTTGCTTCGGTCGCCGTGTAAGTGTTGTTCAAGATGACGAGGATGGCACCGATCTTGGCGACGGCAAAGAAAACTGCAGCATATTGCTCGCAGTTGCCAGCCATTATGCCGACACGATCACCGACGCCAATCCCCATATTGAGCAGAGATTGGGCCAAAGCTGAACTTTGCTGGTTGAGTTCGTGATATGTCCATCGTGCGCCTGTCCATGGAATAACGAGGCACTCTTTGGTGCCATATTGGTAGGTTTGGAGCTCGAGCAGCTCGCCCAGAGTTAGATCGACGAGAGGAGGATCAGATGGGCCATGGAGCAGAGAAAGCTTCTGGGTAGGTGCCGTAGGATCTGGCTGGACAGCTGTTGGGGCGTCCATGTTGGCAAGCCGATGTCTTGATAGGGAGCTTGTAAGTGAGAAACTCTATTATTACAACTTCCACGAAGATTTCACTACCTACAGTATACAGAAATAACGAGAGAATGAGCCTTCTATCTGCTAATTGGCGCTTCTCCTACGTAACCGAGGAACTTGCTGAACTGGTTGATCGAGTCCAGCCCGTCTGTCACTTCTAGACCCACTGCAAGTCCGGCTATTTGACACCAAACAAAGCCTAGCAGCTCATGTACATCATATCCGACAATGTGCCAAGCTGAAAGGTTCCTCTAATTCCAAGAAGAGCTGGGCTCTCCCGCTATTTCGAGACAAGGCCCTTCTCTCGCTGTCAGGGCGCCCGAGAATTGCCGAGAACAGGAACAGGCGCCAAGTCCCCTTGCGGCGTTTTCGCGGCATCAAGAGTCATAGATCCAGTAATCAGATGATCTGATAAGATTTCATCATGGGAGGGCATCAGGAAGATCCACTAGACCTGTGAAACCACGGTCTTTGCCCCGTTGGCATGCGAAGTACCGAAATCGGCCCTGGCCCTTGCATTTGCCGGCACAATGGAGAGAATGGGGAGGGATATGAAAATTTTTCTTATCAGATCCTCTAGTTCATCTCCATAAAGTGGCCGTCGCTTTGGCCAAAGTAACTATACATGTGCGTTGTGGAGGGATGGTGAACAGGGGAAGGGGGTGTTAGTTGCGACAGCCGATGTTTGCATGTGAAGGCCGCTACTTTACCAAAAGAGGATGCTGGGACGGTAACTGCCAGTCAAGTAATTAATATGCATAATAGTATCCGCAGGTAATGAGGTGATTTCAATGTATTATTGCTCAAGTGTGCTTGGCACTGCGAAGCCCTTTTGTTGGAGTAGAATCTGCCGTTACGAAATAGTAGCAGGGCGAGTCTTGCTGGTCAGTAAGTTGGTGTATTTGCTATTCTCTTGTCTCATACTTGCGCCTTTGCCTCCCATAAATCCTCATCAAATCTTTAAAACAGCCGCAGTAATGGAAAATGCCGCGTATGTGCCTGCTGTACGTAATCGTTTGCCGTAGTGGTTTGTATCGTGTGAACGACCCCATCTTCCGTATTCGCATCGACATTGCCAAAGTACGAGTACATCATTGCCGGTACTTTTTCTCTCATCCTCCTCCTCCACCTTTGGCTACACAATTTCTTTCCCTCTTCCACCTCTCCACTCTCCACCCAAACGTCGGCGCAAAACACCAATCAGTTGTCGAGATAGAGAAAAAAGTTATCAGATCGTCCCAAGTCCCAGCTGCAGGCTAATTACGCTCCACTTGGCATCCTGGAGCTTCCCCACCAGTTTTTATCTGATCCGTCCGTTAGGCCCCGAGAACGAACAAGTTCCTTCAACGTACCTCCAAGTTCTCTGCAAAACAAACCCCCCTCACTGCACCTTGGATGGGTCAAAGACCCTTGTCATGCGTCAAACGAATGATATCCGCACCCCTCACTTTGAAACCTGCACGAAGCTTCACGGTTCAACGTTGAAGCTTGGGGCAACTGCTGCCGTCACATCGATGGAGATGGGGCCAAGCTATGATGATTTACCCGAAAGGGTGCACGCCGTACGAGTACTGACTTGAATAACTGGGAATGATGTGTGAAGCTGCTTTAGCTCCGAGGCGGCGCGGCGCGGGCATCGTCGGAGGTGGGAAGTGACAGCATTTAGATGGTGAAGAGAGGCATTTGCATGTGTTCTTGGACTCCAGAAGCCAATGCTGAGCAGCGAATATCCACGTTTTTATTATACCACCGAACGATCGGAAATTCGCCTTCACCATTGATGTAAACCCTACGATATCGTCTAATCACGTCTCAGCAAATCAGCCGCAATGGCTATCGATGGAGATGGAAATGACTATACCGGTTCAGCCAAGCTCGCAATAGGCATGACGGCGAGCCCTGAACAGTTGAAGAAGCCGACGGTTGAGCAACAAAACGAGGTACCAACCAGAGAGAACGGCATCGCCAGCACTGTCGACCTCGAACAGCTGTGGGCGTGGAATCAGCATGTGCCCTCCTATTTGCAGCGCTGCATGCACGATATCATAACAGAGAAATCTCAACTGCAGCCGGATAAAATCGCTGTCGAATCTTGGGATGGAAGCTTGACGTACCAAGAACTAGACAGCCTTTCATCACAACTTGCTAGGCAGATTCTACAGAAGAATGCGGGAGCCGGTAGCAGAATTCCGCTATGCTTTGAAAAGTCAATGTGGACTGTTGTTGCCGTCCTGGCAGTCATGAAAGCCGGTGCTACATTCTCCCTTACAGATCCGAGCCAGCCAGTCGCACGATTACAAACAATAGTCGAGCAAACAGGGGCGAACCTCGTCATCACTTCCGTGGCTCAGAGCGGGTTAGGCAAAGAAATATCCAGGGAGGGAGGCCAAGTTCTCGCCATATCTCGGGATTATTTTGACGGAATCAAAGAGCCCGAATTGAAACAAGACTTACCTCAGGTATCTGCAGAGACGCCAATGTACATCATTTTCACGTCTGGGAGCACAGGAAAGCCAAAGGGTGTTGTCATTACCCACTGCAATTATACCAGTGGTGCGGTTCCTAGAGCAGAGGCCGTTGGCTACAAATCAACTTCCCGTTGTTTCGACTTCCCCTCTTATGCCTTTGATGTAAGCATTGACTGCATGCTATGTACACTGGCAGCTGGAGGGCAAATATGCGTACCATCGGAAGAAGGGAGGATGAACGATCTTAGCGGTGCCATTCGACAGAGTAAAGCCAACATGGTTCACATGACTCCTTCTGTCGCCAGAGTCTTGGATTCCGACATCATCCCATCTCTGGATGTTCTAGGCCTGGGTGGTGAGGCAGTGTCTGCGAGCGATGCGGCGGCCTGGAGTCAGCACACTAGTTTAATTATTGCGTATGGACCATCTGAGTGTACTGTCGGTTGTACCATCAACAATACGGTTACCATCTCGACGGGCATCGGCAAAGGTGTTGGCGGCGTGACCTGGATTGTCGATCCCGATGACCACAACATCCTCATGCCTGTCGGGGCAGTTGGAGAGCTCATCATTGAGGGCCCAGTGGTCGGTGTCGGCTACCTGGATGAACCAGAAAAAACAGCAGAGGTCTTTATCGAAAACCCTTCATGGTTGGTTTCCGGCTATAGTGCCTTCCCCGGAAGACCTGGTAGGTTATACAAGACAGGCGATCTTGTGCGATACGAAAGCAACGGCTCCGGCTCCATTGAGTTTGTAGGTAGAAAAGATCAACAAGTCAAGCTTCGGGGCCAACGAGTAGAACTCACGGAAGTTGAGCATCACCTACGAGCCTGTTTGCCAGGCGGAATCAAAGTCGCAGCAGAGGTGATAAAGCCAGAGAATGGGGGCGCCCCTTCACTTGTGGCATTCCTTTCAGAATCCATCTCTGCTGGCGCTTCTGGAGTAGATCCGGCCATCGTCGAACCATCTTCGGAGCTTAAAGCTGCCTTGGCAGCGGTCAATGAAGCTATGGGAGCCAGAGTGCCACGATATATGGTCCCAGCGGCATTCGTGACTCTTCAGCATATGCCTTCGTTGGTGTCTGGCAAAACGGACAGAAAAAAGCTACGTGAGATTGGAGCTGCAATTCCACGAGATGTTTTCAGCCGAATGCAAGCAACTGAACTCCAAGAGGAAGAAGATCCAGAAACAGAAACAGAGAAAAAGTTGCAACAAGCATGGATCAAAGTCCTCGGTTCAGACGCAAATATATACAGACAGAGCCACTTTTTTGCTTTGGGAGGCGACTCTCTGCGTGCCATGAGACTTGTTGTCACTGCTCGCGAGCAAGGCATCTCCTTGACGGTTGCTGACATTTTTACGAATCCAACGCTTAGTGGCATGGCTTCAAAAGCTACTCAGGCGTCAGAATCTTCTTTGGATGAGATTCCGCCGTTTTCATTGTTAGAAGAGGATTGGGATCTAGAAAGTGCACGAAACGAGATGTCCACTCTTTGTGGCGTTGAGGCCAGCGCTGTAGAGGATGCATATCCATGCACTCCTCTCCAGGAAGCCCTCATGGCCTTGTCAGCCAAAGTCAAGGAAGCGTATGTCGCCCAGAGAGTCGTGGAACTCAAGGATGTCGCCACCGCTGAGAAGCTTATCGAAGCATTCGATATCGTACAGCAAGATAGTCCCATATTGCGCACAAGAATTGTGCAAATCCCCGGGCGCGGCCTTGTACAGGTTGTCATCAAGGAGAAGCTGAATAAGTTCTCAGGTACCAATCTCGATGAGTATCTGGTGAATGATAGGAATGATACAATGGAGTTGGGCAAGAATCTTGTCCGATACGCTGTTATTGATGATGCCACGACAGGAAAGGTCAGCTTCGTGCTTACCATTCATCACGCGTTATACGATGGCTGGTCTATGCCCCTGGTCGTCGATAGAGTAAACCAAGCCTATAGCGATCAGATCTCATCACGACCAGCGCAGTTCAAACACTTTATCAAATATCTGTCGACTATGGATATGGGTAACTCTGCAAATTATTGGCGAGATCAGCTTTCAGGAACCAATCCCTCCCAATTTCCGCCTCTACCTTGGCAGGGATATCAGCCCCAGGCTGATTCATTGCTGGAACAATATATTCCTCTAGAGGATGGGAAAGCATCAAATGCTACTACCGCTACGATTATTAGAGCAGCGTGGGCTCTCGTAGCATCTCAATACATCAACAGCACAGATGTCGTCTTTGGAGAGACGTTAACCGGTCGAAACGCACCTGTTATCGGGTCCGAGGAGATTGAAGGACCAATGATCACAACCGTTCCCGTGCGTGTTCAAATAGACCGGGATATGCATATTTCAGACTATTTGCAAAGTATTCAAGAACAGGTGGTGGGCCAAATTCCCCACGAGCATTTTGGTCTGCAACATATACGCAAACTCAGCCCTGACGCATATGATGCATGCGAATTGCGGACAGGCCTGGTGCTACACCCAAGTGCAGATGATGAGCCCGTTCAGTCCGATGATCTCCCAGCGAGCTGTCTTGTCCCAGCGGGAGATGCAGAAGCTGCTCAGGAGGCTCTCAAATTCAACACCTACCCTCTCATGCTAGTCTGTTCAATAGATCCGCGAGGATTCCTCGTCATGGCCAGTTTCGATTCCAAGACTGTATCAGTTCCTGTGATGGAGAGGGCCCTGGACCAGTTTAAGCAGATTGCACAGCTGTTGTGCAAACAAGGCTCATCTACTCTAAGCAGTCTTCAATCATCTTTGACTAACACGGATGCTGAAGAGCTCCGAGGTACAGTGCTTAATGCAGACATTAGCGAAGCAGCAAAGGAGTTTGCCGGTATTCAAGCAGCCTATGTCACAGATTCCAAAGATCCAAATATTCCTGTCCCGGTGTTCGCAGTTGGCGAGCTGATCGTTCAACACCCAGATGAATTGCCCAGTTTGACTGAAATCTCTCCGCCAACCTGGATTGAGTCAGTATCCAGTTCAGCTGCCCTATCACAGGGCAAATTCTACAGAACAGGACGTTTGGCCAAGTACGACTCAACTCAGAAGCCTGTCCGCATCAAATTGATAGATTCCTATAACGAAAGAAACGCACAAGTGCCCCAAGCAGGAATAGCCAAGAGTCGAATATCGGCGAGCTCCAGCAGACAGCGCAAGTTGCGCAGTCTATGGGCCCGCGTGCTGCGCATGAGCGAGGAGGACATTGGCCTGAATGATGGATTTTTCGTTCTTGGCGGTGATTCCATTGCCGCCATGAAGCTCGTATCAGAGGCTCGGGTCGAAGGAATCAAATTGACCGTGGTCCAGATATTCCAGAAACGGACCTTGTACGAAATGGCCAGCGCCATGGAGGAAGTCGAGAAGCCAACATCGTCCACAGATGTGACCACCACCTCAGATAAGATAGTGAAGCCATTCTCCCTGATCAATCTACAAGATGAGGATGAGAAGTTGCGCTTCGTCAACGACATTATTGCTCCTCAGTTGGCCGATTCAGCCTGGCGCATAAACAATGTTCTTCCTACACGCCCTCTGCAGCAGATTGCCGTCAGGGGCACAACTCAGCTCCCACGCTTCTCGGCGCGATATGAAATCATGTATTTCGACAAGGTTATCAATAAAGAAAAGATGGTGGAGAGTTGCAATCAGCTCGTGGCCCGCAACGAGATACTACGCACTGTCTTCACGGAGCACCAAGACGAAGGCTACGCCGTCGTCCTAGAAGAACTCGTGCCATCGTTTGTCGAGTACGCCATCGATGGCGACGTCGAGGCATTTGCGCAACAGCTGTGCCGTCTGGATGCCATGACGAGAATGCCACTGGGGTCAAGCTTTGTGAAATGGCTCCTCGTTGAGTCAACCACCGGCCAGTCATGCCTCATCTTCCGCCTCTCGCACGCCCAATACGATGAGATCTGCCTCCCCATCATGCTTCAGCAGCTCTCCAGCTTGTACCAAGACCAGCCAGTCCAAGAAACGGTTCCATTCTCCGCCTATGTCCATCACGTCCTCGGCCGAAATCTCCCCGAAAGCATTCCTTACTGGACAGACCTCCTTTCAGGCTCATCCCTGACCGTCCTCAAGCCGGACATCCCCGTCCAGCAGCGGAACCACTTCGCCATCCAGCACACCGTGGACATATCCTCGCGCCTCCGCGACATCACCGTGGCCTCTCTCCCCACGGCCGCGTGGGCCCTGTGTCTCGCCAGTCGCCTCTCCCTGCGCGACGTCACGTTCGGCGAAGTCGTCAGCGGCCGCAACATTGACTTTTCGCACGGCCCGGCCAACGCAATTACAGGCCCCTGCTGGCAGTACATCCCCGTTCGCGTGCGTTTCGAGCCAGGATGCACCGCTCTGCAGGTCCTCTCCGCCGTGCAGCATCAGCACATTGCCAGCTCCGCCCACGAGGGCATCAGTCTCAGTGAGATAGCCACTCTGTGCGGCACCACTTGGCTGAGTGCTGATGGCCCCAAGGCTTCTGATCTGTGGTTCGACTCCGTCGTTCATCAGGACGTTGAACATATCGAGAACCTAGCCTTTGCCGCTGCGGGAAGCAGTCGCTTGGAAACGCTCTATGTACACGAAGAGCCTTTGCGCGAGTGGAAGATTCAAGCATTCGTTCACGACAACAGCAACAAGCTAACATTGGAAATTGTAACCTTTGAGAGCTGGGGAGGATTCGCCAGAGAGTTACTGGAGGACTTGGTCGCTGCAGTAGCAAGCTTGCTGAGAAATCCTCACGCCAGGTTATTTGAGAATGAATCAGAGTAGAGATGCAATATGTATGTATATATAGATATATATAGATATATATAGATATATTATTCACGTAGCTATGATGTTGAATTGCAGGAAAGAAAAAGACGCTTGAGGAGAGATTTGAAGCGCCATACCAAATGTTCCAACGTCCCAGGGAAAACGCAAACCCATACACAGACTCCATCACTCTCCCGTCCGTTTTGAAATTTCAGTAGAATCGCTGCTCGTTCGAATTTAAATGTTGAGAAATATTCGTTCATCATAAAAAAAACAAGAGTAAAAGAAAACCTGAGCGGCGGTGGTCATCCAATCCCTTTTCTTCGCCAAAACCTATTACGCTTGAATGGGTATATAGCACAGACCTCACCAATGCAGTGGTCTGTATATCATAAACAAAAAGCGCCCCCAGGTACAAGACCAAAAAATGGCAATTTCCAGTTTCTCAAGACGCCACTGATTCCCACCACGTCGTATCGCGTTTCAGGCCATTATATGGTAAGCCAAAGTCGCAGTCTCCCCGTCAAACCCACGTCGGCAGGCGTATTATGTACTTTGAAACGTGATGATCAATGGTTTTAGCCTTCTGGCTGTGCTCCCAAACCAAGCACTTTCTGAAGACTTTTGCGAATGCCCATGCCGGCGTGATACTCGTCGTCCTTATCGCGGCCAATTAACCCAAAACTCAATCTCCGCGCAGTGATGCCGATTGAGCCCCCCGTGGTTGTCGATGCCTTTTTGGCCTTCTTACGCCGCATTGTAACAACAATGGGTTCGGGGGCTGATGGCTTTGGGGGCCATTCGCCGTCACGTTTCCATCCTGTCACACAGGAGCGTATCATGTCTTGCAGGTTGATCGGGCATGACGGTTGTAAATTGTTAAGAATGACCTTGTCGTAGAGGCTAAGATAAAGCGAAGGAGTAATGGAAGCTCGGAAAGAATTGGTGGGGGGCAGGATTGGGTATGGGATGGGCAGGAGCGTCTCAACTGGTAGCAAGCGATCGGAGATGCGGTCAGAGTCTCTAGAGCCTTGCTTGTTGAGGTCCTTTTCGTCCTTGGCCATTGATGAGATGTCGGATATCGTGCCTGTAGGGCTATTTCCAAGCGGATTCGGATCGATCAAAGCAGCCGAAGGTGGTGATCCTGAGATGGAGCGGCGGAAGAAAAAGCGCCGGGGAGAACGAGGAGACACCGGTGGTGAAGAGACTGGTTTGCTCCGCACACGAACGGTCTTTGCACCAGTCCAAGCGTTTCGCCGTGCCTCGAAACATGCCAGCCCCTCATTCCAAGTCATTTCCTCTCTAGCAGCTCTCCGGCGTGCAGCTCGCTTCTCCAAGATTGAAGTCTTGGTAACATGATCGGTGGCCTCCAGTTTGTCTAGAGAAGTAATAGCAGCCTCGTCATCGGACAGGTCAGAGTACCATTCCATGCGGGGGCGGTAGTTGACAGCATCCTCTGATACAACGCTGTAGACTGAATCTGTATCGTCGTCGTTCTCGGCGTCAATGTCTTCATGGTCTGAAGCATCTTCGCCCTGATCGGTGCTGTCAACGGCGTAGCCAGCATCTTCGGAGGCCCGATCACGCATATCTTTGGCCGAATCGACCCTGATTGCTTCAGATTCTGAATCTTTTGTGGTAGAGTTTCTCGGCTCATCGGAATCAGATGGCTTCTCGGCGGTTTTCTCTCCAGGCTTGCGGGCCGGTGCCCACTGCCATCCCCAATTGGTCCTGACCTTGGCGGCTAAGTATTTTTTGATGGCATCCTTTTGCCTGTACTTGTCTTTGCTGAGGAGGTCTTCATATTCGGGAGCAAGCCAAGGAGGTGAGTTTGCTGGATTTCGTGACTGGGGACTTTGTTGGCGGAGTCTAGACAAAGGGGATCGTGACCCTTTGTAAAAGTCTGAGAAGATCATGGCTGTGTCAGGATCTGCAGCCGAAGAGATGGCCTCTGGAACTGAGAAAGCCTGTGAGGAAGAGGTGGTGTGGTCTTCTAAAGGAGACGGCGGATGCCGATGACCGAGACCAGTATCGGCAGTGAGATCTATAGTGTCTAAGAGATCGGGCAATAAGACGTCAGCACCTTGTTAATGATATTTATCCAAGCCAAGAGGGAGGGCAAGGGTTGAGGCGGAGGCGGTGTAGATTAAAATGGATATAAGCTGCAATGGCGATGTAACTAGCGCTGAGTGTCGAAGCTTATGATGAACCATGAAAGTAGAAGTAAATGAAAGAGAAAAGGTTTAGAGCGATAAGGCGATGTGGTGAGATGAGCTAATTGGGGAGAGCAAGAACAACACAAGCAAACTAAGCTTGAAGATTTGGCTACGACTGAAGCTGACGGTACTAACCTTCACTACCCAACGAGCCAGTGACTGGTCAGATGGCGTAGCTTCAACGGTTGTCTCAGCTTCGGACTGAGACCAAGGGAAGGAGGGTGATGCTGCCAAACTAGCAGGGAAAGAGTATATAGAGAATATAGCGAATGTGTGTAAGAGGGAGCGGGTGTGAGAAGCTAAAGAGATCCAGGAGGGGGAGAGAGACTGGAGACAAGCTTGACAGCTTAACCGAGGAAGCAAGAAGATATAAAAACAAGGGTGAGGATGACAGGAAGAGACTAGAGGTGAATCCAGGGTTCATGTTGATGCCTCCCAGGTACGAGTACCTCAGGCACCGGCAGTGAAGAGGAGCGCAACCATTTCATCATACCAGCCGTGAATCCTTGTACCACTGAGTACCAGCTGATGCAATGTCTCGGGAGGGGAAGAGCTCGCACGACGTGCCACATTGACAAGTCGAATTAGACAGCGGTGCAACAAATGGTGGCTTGGAAACACTAAAGCTTAAAAGCACACAAGAGCAGGGCAAAAGACAGAAACAGCCGCGTGAAAAGAGGCGTCAAGGAAGGATCAGGAGTGGGATTGGTGGGATTGGGATTGGGATGAGCATTTCAGGATCAGGAATGCGAGGCTGTGGGCAAGACAGAAGGTGAAACAGGGTGGGATTGACGGTATGTTGTTGTTGCTTTGTTGTTGATGATGTTGGTATAAAAGACGAGGCTATGCGTCAACTTACCGTTTAAATTTGGCTGTTGATGGACGGCTGACGAGGGGTCATTGCTGTAAGTTGCGAGTGGTGCAGCTGCAGAAGAGGCGACAAAGGCAGCGCAAGTAACGGTATCGCTGGTGCTGGCGGTGGATGAAGATTGAGGAGAAGAAGACAGTTGAGGCGAGGCAGAAGAAGCAGAGGCAGAAGCAGAAGCAGAAGCAACAGCAGGGACAGAGACAGAAGTAGAAGCTGTGGCGAGAGAGTCTCTCACAGCCGGTGGCGGCTGCGACGACATCATGATGGGCTGCATAACACACGCGAGCCACACGAGCCAGGGCCAGGGCCAAGACCAAGACAAAGACAAGGATGCGCGGATAGCAGATGCAGGATCCCCGACAATGCCAATGCCAGCTTGTGTGCCCAATCCAATAGTACGGCCGGCAATCAGAAAACGGGGGGGGAACGACGGCATGCAAAGGGAAAATTGATCAATCACGAGAGGTCCAAGATCAGGTCAGGCAAGGTCAGGTCAGGCAGCAAAAATGGCCGTTTGGGTCCGTCCTGGGGGGCAGCCACAGGGCTCAAGGGCACGGAGCCCCGCTGAAGCGCGCTGGAGGGGCAGTTGAATCTGCACTGGACGGAAGCGGGCAGATTGGACCGCTGAAGGCCCCAAGGTTGGAAGGCAAATCACTGGATAGCGCAGTACGTGGCGGCGGAGTACCACCTTCTGCCAAGAGACGTTGAAACTTTGTGAAATCTCTGCACCGTGGGGACTTGCAGCCGGAGTACTCTTTTACTGCCCGACCCGACCTTGTCAAGTGGCTCTAGGTTTGATGGTTTGGTGCTAACACGCTGCCTCTCAACGCCATCACGAACCATCGACAGGCAATCGGGAGACTCGGTGGGGCAGGCAGGGCTGGACGAACGAGCCTCGTCGTGTGACCCAGTTTGCTGCCTTTTTTTTTTTTCCTCTTTTTTTTTTCATCTCCCCCCGTATCTCCCCTCCCGTGGCACCACCTGCGATCGGCGCATTGGATGATGCGATTGCGCTACAGTAGCCGAGGCTCGTCACTATCAACTGTTGTTTTCTACTAGGAGAGAAAGAGACGCCAAGGATTGCCCTCCACGGCAATCCTGGGCAATCCTGATCCTTGAACTTGAATCTCGTTCGTCCAGTCTGCACAGATTAATTGCATGTCCGCATCTCCGATTCGTATTCCATCGTCATATCCACAGCCGAAAATTGATATCACACCGCACTGCACGGCCGCGGCACGGCAGCGTCGCAGTCGCAGTCCCCGAAAGACATGGAGCCTTGCAATGCCCCGAGCGAGTCAACATACTTGCACCAGTACAACATTGCAACTCTCCGCACCCCGAGTCGAGCCATGGCAAAAAAGGTAGGGCTATGCTGCCATGCTAGGTATAACAAACAAACACTACGAGTCGAGTCCACACTAGAACTAGCCGGCGCCAAAAAGATATGGTTACTTCGACTTGGCCACCATCCTCGTAAGCAAGGCGCGAGTCAAACTGCATAGCTGCGGCAAGCAAAACGCCCAAGCAAAATGCTTATTTGTCAAGTCATGTCATCTAACTGAAGCTCCCCGACATCCGGGAATGAATGAATTGGTGCTTGCATAACGCCCAGTAAGCTGATGAGTCACCTATCCTAGCAAGGAATACGGAATAGATAGGAACGAAGCAAAAGACAAGGTAGAAGATGATGAAAATTTCTTCAGCCCGCCCGGCTTCTTACGTGGATGCGCCCCGTCAGTGTTGCCATTCAGTTCTGTGCCATTCTCTGCCGTTCTTGTACACACAATCGCACACACCGGCTGGCTTCACCACGGAATACGCGGTCAGAATCCTACTGTTTCATCCGCCAATAGTCATAAAAGCAAAGATCGTCCATGTCATACCCCAGCCCAGGTCTAGGCCTCATCCGGACCCCGACGTTTAGCTTCAAGCCATGGTGCTAAGGGGCGGCACTGCTCGAATAAGCATTTGAATTTTGATCCATCATCATTCACATCGTCTGACAGTGGTCCCTTTTTTCCCTATCGCAAAAAGCAAACCTCATCTCTCAGCCTTTCACCACCCTTTAGCCTCCCCGCTCCTCTTTTCCCCGCAATAGACCGTGGAAACAAGACGTGCCAAGACAGCAGCCTCTCAGAGCTAGCAGATGCTAGTTCCAGAGCATGTGCTCAAGGTTTGCCGCCTAGTGAGTGATTCGTGGCGACCAACAGCTATCAGCTGAGACCATCTCGCATCGACTCTTGCTCAAAGCGGCCTCCCAACTGCAGCCAGGGATCCAATGGATGGCAAGGGGAAAACAAGAGCGGTATGCACGAGCGGGGGGGCTGCATGTGAAGCTGTGTGTCCTCGTAAGCAATCCTGGATCACCAATCATGGAGCGGGGATGTCCAAGGTCGGGCTTTTATCCTCATTCACGTCGGCACTCTCCGCAATCGTTAATGTTACCGCACCTTGCAGCATTTTGAACAAGCATTCTGAGCAAGCATTATGAATTCCATTGTAGGCAATTGACAAGCAAAGCTGCCCCACCACCAAGATGAAATTGCATCTGTTGATTACAAAAGTCAGACATGGAGATGAAGTCGACTTGGTGTATAAGATGATGACACACAGTGCCGCTGACTAAGATTCCATCCATCCTTCAGAAGCTACATGTACGAGTAGCCAACGAGCATCGCTACCTCTTAGGTTGATGAAAAAGAGAAAAGATAGACATCTCACCAAGCAGATAAGCCAACTCTAGATAACGCGGCTGACGCAATTATGAGCATCATGAGAAAGTTGTAGCGTAGATGATGGCAACCCCATGTAAGTCAGATGGGAGAGGGGTCTGAGCTTCGCAAGTAGCAGATTGATGCAAGGGCGGCGGATGTGATCATCTAGGCCGTTGCCAAGTTTAACCTAGAAAGGATTATAAGCTTTATTTAGTAAATAAGCATATTAGATGCCTTGAGAAAAAACATGAGCCGTCTATGTAAGGGGGAAACTCGCAGACACTAATATGCTGCAAGGGTGATAGCATCAGTATAGGTAAGTTGTTTCGTTTCCTCCGGGTGCGAACGACAGGTGCACGTATATGCCATTTAAGTCACAATGATCTGATAGTTGTTTGGACAGTCAGCATTGAAATATCATCACAACCCCTTCCTGCCGAGGCATGTTTACTTGGATGCGTGAAAACAGTCGACCAGCGCATCAAGCTGGATACCCAACATCATACAATGCATATCGTAAGCAGTTGGAACTTCCATGTATTATACTCGGTAGTAAAGGAAATGGTTAGTAGCAGACAGTAATTGACGAATAATTGCCAAGGTAGATAAAGGCAGTTCCTGTGCACTTCCCTTTGACACACCAGATATCAGTGTCGATGGGGTGAGGACGGCCGCTCTTTCGCTTTAGAAATCAGGTTGCCGAGTTTGGTATCATATGAGGAGGGTATCTGCCTATCATGCAATCCACTGTCAATATGGGACCAAAGATACCTGGCAGAGAGAGGTGATGAGAGTACATGTTTGCTATGTGCTAATCAGGCTCCAGGCACCAAACGAAAACCTTTCTCAAGCAGGACAGACAGGCTCAAGAGTGGCACAAACAGTATGATAGAACTACGTATACGTGTAGTAAGATCATTCTCGAGACGTATTATATAGCAATATACACTGGCGAATCAACCATTACGTGCCGTCCCCTACATGTACACATCATCCCTTGTCTCTGATACCGTCGATGTAGTGACGTTTTGCAGAAATTAAAATCCCATCAAACAATAGGCTGGTATCTCAATTACATATCAAACAATAATTTCGACACATACTCGTATTAGCAAGAAGACTATTCCAATGTTAGCAACTTCATTATCAGCAATTTTCAATGGCAAACGAATCTGCCGTCACGGCACTCCCAGACACGCCCCATTCTCACGATATACAGATAATGTGCAGTGGCTTAGGGAAACAGGATACATCAAATTATAATTCGCTCAATTACCGTCTGCATTACCGATATGTTATACAGCTTTATAGATCATAGTCATACCCCTTTGCCCGTACGCCCATCCTTTGCCTTCTTTCCAGTCCTGTCGTCCTAATAGTATCAACAGCGCCAGAAATATCCTCATATTATTATCTGATCCCATCAGCGCGTTGCGGGCTGATTTAGGCCACTTCGACTACTGGCTTCCCCAATGATGGCTTGCCCTTGTCTCCAAACACGGCACCGGCAGGCCCTTCAATGATCTCCTCTGGGACGGCAACGCGGTTACCACTCTTGTTGCTAACCCAGCGAATGAAAATAGGGTTGGCTTTTTGCGAGTCCCCCTCCTGTGCGTCGGCGGCAGCTGCTTTACGGTTGATCTTTGGGGCTTGTTTCTTGAGAAGCTTGTTGATTGTCTCCATCTGTGGTGGCGGTATTAGCAATGTGACGAGTATACGAGGATCTCAACCCTGATGAGAATACTACTCACCTTGACTTCTTCATTACGCTTCTCACTGAGGTTGCGTCGCCGTCTAGCCATTTCTTGGCGGCGCATGGACAACTCTTCCGCCGTAAATACTTTCTTGACTTGGATTTCTGCAATAGAGTGTCAGAGACGTGGTCTTGAATAACCAATCAAATCGCATTTCGCATCTCATGAAGACGTGCAGATGCGCAGAGATAGACTCACCATCAGGCAACTTCATAAATTCTTGAGGTATATCCTCAAACCGGGCCCTCTGTCTTTTGGTCATTTTGGCGAGGTCTGGCGTTTCAGCCCGGCTGCCTTCTTCGCTATCGAGCTCCGAATCGCCATTGGCCTCTTGTTGCATGGCAATTTCATCGTCTTCCTCAACCTCCTCCTCATCTCCAGCAACTTCGATTTCTTCTCCTTCGGCATCTTCATCTTCCATGTCCTGGTTGCCATAGACAATGGTATCATCGCCTATGTCGCTGTCTGCCGGGTCGCTAAGCTCGTCGTCATCATCCTCGTCTTCCTCGTCTTCATCTTCATCTTCATCCCGATTCACTCTGGATGAGGTGACCTTCACCGTGGGTCTCGACTTGGTAATCCTCGAAGTCTTTGCTGAGGGGCGGCCAACAGGCTTCGGGGCCATGTCAATGTCGCCATCTGCATCTTCTTCGCCCTCGGCATCAACTTCCATTTCGTCTTCACCTTCAGCATCTTCGTCACCGAGCTCTTCCATTTCATCATCTTCGTCTGCTCTCGTGTCCTCTTCGTCGTCGTCATCCTCCTCCTCATCATCCTCGTCGTCATCTTCTACTACTACTTCTTCCTCCTCTTCCTCCTCTTCTTCGTCATCAGGGCTTGAATCTATAACATAGCTCTTTTTTCCGCCGCGGTTGCGCTTCCCGTGCACAATCTCGCCGCCTTCAAATGGGTCGGCGGCCCGGCGATTGCCTCCCCTGGTAGACCTACTGCTGGGGAGCTTGACTGTAACGCTAAGATGCGTCTCTTCTGGCGATGAAGCTGTATCGCGAGAGGCCGATGCGCCAGCGGCACGTCCCGTCCGTCGCGAGGACATTTTGATATCTGAGTCTTCCTTTTCGCTTGTGTCAGCCCATCTGGCGTGGACGGAAATCACTTCTTTGGCCTTTGCAGCGGCCGAACGCCGCGGACGTGAGGACATGATACGCCGACTGCACTCGCAGTTGCTTGATGTGTTTGGATAATGCCGGGTCTATGGTTTTTGTGTTGCGTGCGGGCTTTTGGGAACAGGAGCCAGGGTAGCGGCAATGGCGACGGCGGTTTGTAAAGGGTTCAATGCCGCTTGAGCGACGTGCACATGTGGCATGTAGTTGGGATAAGCTCGGTCTAGCCACTAAAGCAAGGCCGCGCAACTGGGTTTTTGTACGGACACGAATTGCTCAGGCAATTTCCACAACATGACAGGCTGATCCCAGCCCCTAAAACAGCAACTCTGCCGCGGATTGGGTCTTGGGGAATGTCTGCCTGCATTTCGCGCCACTCAACCCTGCCTTTGACGGACATTGAGTCTTGGGCGCTGGTCCAATGAAGCAGCCAGGTGTAGGCATTTTATACTCCACGCCAATGAATTGGCCACGACAAAACACTAACCGTCCAACCTCAGCACTTGAGAGGTAGATCCCAGCATTGACGTCTCGCCAATTGTTTTGTGCTCATTGGGATGCTGCACTTGCAGTCTTTGTTAATGGAACTCGGGCCACAGACGCCAATGATGATGGACAAAGTCTCATCCAGAGTGACAAAGAGAAAGACAAAAATGAAGAGCAGGGTTGGTACAGCAGTAGGGAGAGCCCCGAAGCGATGGCGACAGAGACAGCGCAGAAGCAGCCGGCCGGGTCATGATGCATCACATCCGCCGAGATACATATCGGGCAGGCAAACAAACGAAAAGAAACTGCGTGGGAAACTCCCAATTGTCTTACCTTGTTTGTACCTTTACCGGCGGGTGCAGCCAATAACGGCTATTCGTGGTGCTGTTCTTATTGGACCTGAGCTGTACAATCACGATACGCGTGCTGCAGGCGTATGCGAGAAGAGGTATACCGGGATCAGCGCGCAGGACCTGATCTATCACTGTTCCAGAGGCTAGAAGTACCGCGCTGAACCAGTCTTGTTAGCACCGGTACAGGTAGTCGATGCCTAGAGTGAGCGCTGAGCTATCAGGGATCCAAGCGAGATGATTTGATGGCCGTTCAGCGTCGCTGCGATGACGGCAGGGTAAGGCTCGACGTGATGAAGTCTAAAAAAAATAAGAGACGTGTTGGTGATGGCCGAGACGCGGATCGAGGGAGATAAATGAGTTAATTCCAGAATACAAGGGGCTAAGTCAAAAACAAACGGCGCAGTTGAATGTCTGTAGGCGTTGCTTAGCGGCTACGGCTCTTATTCAATGGTTGTATCGCAATCGCATGTTAATTTTTGGTGTTGAGAGCAGCTGATGGGCGAGAGTTTGAAGACCCCCTAGGCCCACTTTTGTGACTTTCTCAGGTCTTTTTTGTTAGTGCTCTCTACATTATTACAAGCAAGTTATCTAAGGATTGAAGTATTCAATGCTTTTATGTCGAGATTGAACTTCCATTGGGGAGTATGCAGCTCTACGCACTGTCAATTGTAGTGGCTCGCTTCTGTTCGCTACTCTTCATCCATACAAAGTCGCGGATTTATTCTCCATTATCTACCCCCGTCAACTCCAAGGTCACCTCAGGGTAGCGCGGAACCAACACAGACAGCATGGCTGCGCTGCAAATTTGCAACTCGACTTGGTATTACCCTTGTCTCATAATAACGGTGATTATTTACGTATATAACTATTTTTACTAGAGAATAAAAACGAACAATACTTATCAGGAATTCGCGATACTGGTGGCGGATGATTGAAACCTGCTGAATGTGATTCCAAGTAGACCAGGTACAAGTTACTTGCGCCTGGGATGAACTTCAAGGCTGAACTGGGCAGATAATTCACACAGCTCGAGATTTCATTGGCTCGAAATCTTAGTCATCAGCAAATCCACTAGAGCGCGCCGCGTCTTGCATGTGCCGAGGCCTGTGACAAAGCCGGATCTTACCCGGCCAACCGACGTCCGGGGTCAATGTTATCGATGGCCATCTCGCTTCAGCTGACATGCTTCCCCTACGAAGATATGTGAAATTCCAATAACAGCACAAATGGACGACTCAGAAGGCAAATCATCAACCGATGGCGTGCCCAAGTGGCAGCTCAACGCGCCCGCTGACAATGTAGATAACGCCGCCGCGGATGCATCACAGTCGCAACAGAATAGCGATACAGACAAGCTAGAAGTTGCGCGACGGTTTCTGGACGATGATGCCGTCAAGACAGCTCCCCGGGATACCAAGATCGACTTTCTCAAGTCCAAAGGTGTCGAGGATGAAGATATCGAGCATCTCCTCGGCGGGTTAGAAGAGGCGCCATCATCAGCAAAGGATTCCACACCATCAGACGTATGTAAACACATACCTATCTCAGCCCTTCATCTCCCCATTAGACTAACGCCAGACAGGAGTCCAACCAGAAAGCATTGCAAGTGCTCGAAAAATCATTTGCACAGAAACCACAACCACCCGCCGCTCCCGAACCGCCGAAACCCATCCTCGCAGGCAGCGATCGGCCTCCCGTAGTGACATATCCCGAGTTCCTCACCAAGCCCCAGCGCACACCCCCCTTGGTCACGACCGACGGGCTCCTCAATACCCTCTACGCCTTTGGCGGCTTGTCGGCGCTTCTATATGGCGCGAGCAAATTCGCCGTTGAGCCGATGGTTGAGAAACTGACGAATGCGCGAATCGATTTACACGAGACCACCGCAAACCGACTGGATTCCATCCTTACCCAGCTCGAAAACACCGTCTCTGTCGTTCCGTCGTACAAAAGCTCCGCAAACACCGCTTCGGAGGCGACCGAATCCGAAGACCCATCTGAAATGTTCCACCGCGATGTCGGCACTCAGACGTCTTTTCCCAATAGCCCTTCAACCTCGACTCCCAAGGGGAAAGACGAGGCGCAGTCAAAGGTCCAAGCAGATCGTCTTTCGAAATTGGCAAAGTCGCTGAAGGGGCTTACGGACGACTTTAAGAAGCAGAGCAACGAGTCTCAGGATATCAAGGTATTGCTGGATGTCTTCCGCGACGATCTCGACAACATGACATACGGACACCATGCCGAATTATTCGGAAACTTTGACAAGAGGAAGAAGAAGGACTCTGAAGACGAAATCCGGAAAGTAAGGGATAACATCCGAAGGATAAAGGGCGTTCTTTTGAGCGCGCGGACTTTCCCTACCTCTGCTAGGTAAAAGGACAGAATCAAGCGCGCATTGTGTTTTACTGCTTAGTTGTTGGGCATTTAAACTGGCGAAAGGACGTATAGCTATGATTTGGGGTAGACTGATGATATTATTTCCCATGTATAGTACTAATTACAATTTGTATACACACATGATCTGTGCCCTATATTGGCCTTTGTTATAGAATGTGCTCTCTTACTGGCTCCTTGCCGTCGATACATACAAATCCACAATGAAGATTGGAAGAGTGAAAAGAGAGAGAGAAAAGATGAAATGCCATTATATGTTCATGTCCAGATATCCTCATGATGGAGCTGATGCACCCTCCCAATGAAGCCGAAACAGTTGAAACGACCGATTCGCCCATCAGCCTCGTTTCTGCAAAAACTCCTCGATTTTGTAAACTTGGAAAACGTCTCTCCATGCCATGACCTTGATATGTTCAAACCCTCGGCCCTCTTCGCATTGCTCGGTGTACCAGTCTATCGTTGGCTTAAAGAGATACTCGAAGCTCTTCCCTTCCAGCTTAGGGTCGAACTGTCGTGCCGCCTGGTGCAGCCGATTTCGACATTTCGTATATTTATATTGGCCGTGACCCTGCGGTGGATGGAAGATTCTCTTTCGGGTTGGTGCGTCGTCTCCTGGCTGCAAGTTCCCCTTCATGTCGTCTTCATTTCTTATGGGAGCACTGCGGTCCTCCCGATGTTCTGACGACCTCTCAGGCGTGACAAGACTCCATCCCCTACTGGATATTTCGTAGGCTGGTGCAGGTATCCAGTCTTTCACCATCGTCAAAACGCTATCAAGCCATTGTATTGTGACGTTCAGAGCAGATGCACCGCTGGGCCTGGCCCCGACAGCGCCCACCCAGACCTTTTCAAGCGGGAGTCTATCTCGTGCCCTTTGTTGAATGTGGTCTATCAAGCGTTGCTGGCCTTCGGGGAGATCGGCATAGCAAAAAGTTTTGCCTTTCCTGCTGCTTTCTAAATAATTAATGTCCCATATGAACAGCTCTAAATTCTTCCAAGGCCGCATATGTGGGTTGACCGGACGTAATAGAGCAGCCCACGGGGATCGTTGGACGTTGTGAAATGTACGCGACGAAGCTTGCTGCTCGTCAAAGGTGTAAAACAGCCCTGCGTATGTATTGAGTGGTCCTCTGTGGGAGATGTTAAACACTCTCCAGTGATATTCAAACCACTGTTCATATGTATAATATCTTTGTTTGATGTCTCCCAGCCGGAAACCAACATCTGACGTCGAATATCCCACGGGGTACAAGTACAATTTCACGGGCGTGTATAACCCTCGTTTGAACTCCTCTATGATTTCAAACAGTCGAGTTTTTATGTACTTGCTTTCGTCGTCTTTAGCTGCTCGTGGCCCAGACGGAGGCGACAACGGTTCAGGTTGGCTTGGGACCCCTGACAGTGCCTCGTCCGGATCGTTCACGACGCCGTCTTCGTAAATTGGTGCCTGAAGCGTTCTTGAGCGCCGTGTTTCGGTTTGCCAGCCACAGCCTATGACAGTATATCTTCGGTACTGTTCTATATTCAAGGTAGACCACTCGCCGAACCAATTGACCAAGCTTTGCTCATCGTTACCATCTATTGCTTCGGGCGCGAGGATAATACTTCTAGAATTTCCGTTCGGAGCATCTGCAATAAGCTGTTGGATGAGTTTGAAAGACTTCCACCGACATTCTATTGCCTTGTCGGATATACCCTTGGCGCTGAGTTCCTCCTCTGAAGCGTTAACCGGATGCTTGCGTCTCATCGCCGTCTGCTCTAGGTATAGGTTGTTCATCCATTCGTCAATCTTTGCGCACAGAACCAACTTCCTGGGTCGGCTCACGTCGAAAGTTTTGACGTAATTGTTCCAGAACCACTTCAAAAACGAGTATGCATGCTCTGGCTCCGAGACCAAGAAGCTAGGCGTGATCAAGAAGGCTGCCCCAGGGTCAAACACACGGTAAAGGCGGATATCGCCCGGGGGGGACGCTGGCGAGCCCTCAGAACCTAGTGGATGAACGGGCAAAAGAGAACGGCTGAAAGTCCAAAACGTAAAGTGTGTTCTGCGCCCATGTAAAAGGTCGTTCAATCTGGGGATCTTTCGTATTGCCCAAAGCATGTCTTCATGAATAATGACAACTCCATTGGGCAGTTTTATGAAACTAGACCAAGAACCTCCTGCGTAACTAACCCGAATATCGCAGTCGCTCCGGTTATCTCGCAACCACCCAGTTAACAGGAAAGCTTCTTGTTCGGCACGATTGGGGAAGGCCAAGTAGAAGTTGTGCTTCTCGCCGTCTCTTGCATGAACGGGGAGTAGCTGCTCATATTTCTGGCCGAAGATTTCATTCAAAGGTCTTGACCAAAATGCTGAACCTTTGTCGCTCTTGTCTGGCACCATCAGCTGTGAAGCGGAGGCCAGCATGGATGGAGTCAGGGAATCAACTGGCTTGAAAATATGGTATTTGAGGACTATGTCATCGCAGTCTTGTGTTGCTTGACCATCGGTATTTTCAGGGAAGAACATGTATACGCAGAAGTTTTCGCTACAACTTAGCAATCCCAGAGACCCGAGTCTTAGATTGCTCGCCAAGCTTTTGAGGGCGTTAAGCTCCGTATATGATACCACAGTGCCTTCGCATAATTGTACCACTGATAGGCCGCCGTTCAAACCTGTCTGGCAGAAGAGATCCCGAGAATTGCAAGTATGTGTGAAGACGAGCCGCTCATCTGAACGAAACTGGTCTGCCCAAGCGAGGCCTCTTTCTTGGGGTATCCCATCAAAAGAGAGAGTAACAGTATTTAGCTTTTCGGGACCTAGTTGCACGGTTTTGCTCACTGCTTGATATTCCGGCTGCTCTTCGGAAATATCAGTGTCTGGCTGGGTCATTTCGTCGTCTGAGGCATCTGGGGCCGGTGAAGGAGTCTGATCAGACACAAATAGACTATCGCTTGGGTCTATATCCATCGGTTCATCTTCCCAGTGAGCAACACCCTTTGTTGGAGATCTGCGTTTCCCGTTGGTTTGATCATCATCTTTAGAGCCATTGGCTGATGGCATAAGTTGTGGGTTGTTGTGATCAAGAGAGATCAGCTCAGAAGGCTGACTTGCTGGCGCCTTGATCCCTTCTCTATCTCGACGTTGTAACTCTATCTTCCTTCTGAGTCGCGAATTTAAGAATTTAGGGTTGACTTCTGGGTTTGCCGCTGCTTCGCTCAAGGTTCCTCGCCCCTTGCGAGTACGACCGCCAGCGAAGACATTTGCGTACCCTGTTGGTCTTGCTGCCGCCACCCGATTTGATGGAATGTGTCTCCTCGGGACCTCACGAGAAGTCTCCTCGGGCGGAAGAATGAATCTCACAGAAGCTCGTGTCGTGGTCTCGGCACTCTTTAATGCTGACTTTAACGGAGCCGGGGGGTTCACGGCTAATTTCTCTGGTGGGCTGGTCGTCCTGGTCTCATCAGGCCCAGGTGTTCCGAAAAGCCCCTCCTGTATAGTTTCTTGGGGAGAAGGAGAATCTTCAATCAATATTGCCGAAGTTTCTGGGATTATCGCGGACTGATTTGTATGAGAAGCGGGCGGGTTCTCTAATAGGCTTTGCTGCACGCTTATTTGTGCAAGGCTTGGACCAGCCTGACCAGCTTCTTCCTCTTCTTCATCCGGATAATCGCTGAGTAATTGCAGAAACTCATTCATTGTCATCATTGGCGTCTGGGGATAGCCGCGTCTTGCGCGCACGATGTTGCGAAGATGGTGTCGAGCAAGCTTCGACTCGTAGCTCTTCGTGAATGCATCTTTCCAATCCTGAAGTCTGAACTTTGGCACCAGTCCATTTCTTTGGTCTGCCTTGTTCTTCTCCCAGATTCCCATGAGCTCATCTGTTACGTTTTCTCTGGGCTCCCAGGTTGCTTCTTCTATGGGCAGATCTTTCCATTGGATCAGACAGCGGGGCTCTCCGTTAACGAGCCTTTCCGCCAGGACCTTGTCGGCGAACAGCTCATCACTGTTCTCAACATCGGTGGATGTGATTGAAATCTCATCGTCAGAATCTCCTCCAGACGCCATCGCCGATGATGATGTTTCATAGAGACGACGTTTCCAGGTGAATAGTGGTGATAGCTGGTTGTCCTGCCGACTTGGAATTGTTTGCAAACGGCCTGGATGCAATTGAATTCACGTGATTGCACCTGCGCACAGATGTCGCGGCAGAAACCATGACTACCGCTGCCAGGATGGTGTAGAAGTGCTAATTGCTGTGCCAACCTTGAAATGAGTCCAAAGCATGCCCTGGGCGGCACTGCAAGGCCCATCTGATGGCTACAAGCTGCAGTGATGTTGTTGTTTGCTAGCTAAGCAGCTGCACGAGCCCGAGCCCGAGCACGAGCTTGCTAAAACAAAACAGCACAGCATCAACCCACATGCAAATCACCTTACGCGAGCCAGTGGATTATTAACCTGAACCCTTAACCCCACATGCACTCTCCTAGTAAGGCTCTAATCAAGTAGTTTCCGCCGACGCTTGGGCGTAGTTGTTTGGGCTCAATCGAGTCTTGAGCTGCTCATCTCCAGCTACTAACATGGAATCTATCTGCCTAGTAAGTAGTGCTTCGTGCTGTGGTAGGCATCTGAGATGGTGATACACGGCATTAGGCAGCCCTATAAGTGCCACCAATCAACACCATAGGTACCTCACAAGTATCTGTACCGCCCTCAATTAGGAGAGACGAAAAAGGGGGGAGTAAAGTGTTATCATGGTCCTTTGGGTGCTAAAGAGATGAGGGTCCGGAGTCTCCATACGGCTCTCCTGTTGGTGGGTTCCTCAGCACCCAAAGGGCATTTCTTTGGTGTAGCAGAGGGCACTACCTGTTGTGCTAACGGCCATTCACAGGCTAACGAAGGAGCCCAAGCCGGTACCTCAAAGGTACCTGTTGATCCATGCAGCGTCTAGGGCAGTGTGCAGTCGCCAGCAAGTCTCTGTCAGGCTGCGGGAAATGCATTCCTCGTTGCCTGCAGCGCCTCCTGAGCTCAAATTCCCAGCCCAGCCCAGCAGAGCACAGCGCAGTACTCGTACAGCACAGGTGACTGACTGACTGACTTAGCAACCCCAACTACCAATCGTCAGAGCCGCGCAGCCACTTCTTCCCCTCCACATCCACAACCACAACCACACATCTCAGCGTCACAGCGTCCCTTGTCTGCACAGCATCAACCACATTTACTCACTTGCGCGCATCGACTCGTTCTGCTGCTACCATGGCCAACGACGAATATGATGTAGGTTCCGCCCCCTTCCAGCACTGCAACGAAATGAACACCTGGCGGAACGCTAACGGCGATGCTTCAACCCCCACTAGTTCCTCTTCAAAGGTGCCGCCCTCCCTTCTTCCGTGGATGGCCAACGCCGCCAATCTGCTCCGTGGCCGCGTGCATACTAACCCCGAGTCTGCTAGTTGTCTTGATTGGTGACTCTGGAGTCGGAAAGTCCAATCTTCTCAGCCGATTCACTCGCAACGAATTCAACCTCGACTCCAAGTCAACTATCGGTGTCGAGTTTGCCACTAGATCGATCCAGGTCGACTCCAAGACCATCAAGGCGCAGATTTGGGATACAGCTGGTCAGGAGCGTTACCGTGCCATTACTTCCGCATACTACCGTGGTGCAGTCGGCGCCCTCCTCGTCTATGACATCAGCAAGCACCAAACCTACGAGAACGTCACGAGATGGCTAAAGGAGCTTCGGGACCATGCCGATGCGAACATTGTCATCATGCTGGTTGGCAACAAGAGCGATTTGAGACACCTGAGGGCTGTGCCCACGGATGAGGCCAAGGGCTTTGCTAGTTCGTCTTTTGCGGTCCAAGAAAACAAATGGAGTTATACTGACCAATGTGACCTGCAGGCGAGAACCATCTTTCTTTCATCGAGACGTCCGCCCTCGACGCCAGCAACGTTGAACTTGCCTTCCAGAACATCCTTACTGGTGCGATCTGTCCTTCCATCGTTCCCCTGCCATCTTCAGGACTAACACAATCCTCCATACAGAGATCTACCGAATCGTATCTAGCAAGGCTCTCGACAGTGGTGATGGTGCCCAAGCCACCATTGGTGCCGGCACTAATATCTCACTCAGCAAGGCAGCCGACGATGAGGCTTCCAAGGGCGGCAAGTGCTGCTAAGCTAGTTATGATGATGCCAAAGACATGTGGGGAAATGGGAAATATTTTAAGTCGCATGTTTCGAAAATGTACGTCGCATACCGAAAGACTTCGACACTGTGTCGAGGAAATGAGGAGGAGGCCTGATGCTTCCTTTTGTTTCTCAATTTAGAAGGGCGCAGACACTTTTGACTTTCTGTTGTTTCTGTTTGTCGCGATGGGGGTTCCTGGGCTGATCTATCCGGTGACGGCTACGAAGCCTCATCTTACGTAGCTAAATGACCTCTTAATGAAATGATTCGGTTTTTCAAACCTGGCAGCATCGTCTCCTCGGATTTCCTAGTCCTAAGATACAAGTCCTTGTTGCTTTGCATTTATTCCTAGGTAAGATACATCCCATCGATCCGAAGCCCAAGATTGGCGGTGATCAAACCACCTTGTCTCTAACGTTGGTATGCGGTACGCTCCGCAGAATTGCTTCCCGCTCTTTAAGGCCCCCAAATTCCTGCCTACCGAACCGAGCTCAGCGAGAATCCCCCACCATGCTCCAACCGACGCTAAGCCGTGCCTGGACTGGCTATCGGGCGACCCACATTCATGATTTTTCCGATAAGGATTTCGACTGCTTATCGCATTGCGCTCCTCTAAATTTTCTAGCAGTCGCAAACTATTTTGTACGCCCATTCCCAACTGCTTCAGCTATCCCCTACTCTACAAGATGGCGGCCGTATACAAGTCCCTGTCCAAGGGCGGCAGCGAGAAAAACGAATCGTCGACCAATGGCGTCAAGAAAAACAAGCAGAGGGTGCTGATCTTGTCCAGCCGAGGTGTCACGTACAGGCAAGTCTTGCGGCGATGGGCTTGATAATTGCCGTGACTTTTGCTGACTTTATACCAACAGACACCGTCACCTCTTGAATGACCTTGCCTCTCTGCTCCCTCATGGTCGAAAGGATGCCAAGTTCGACTCGAAATCCAGACTCGGCGAGCTCAACGAACTGGCCGAACTGTACAACTGCAACAATGTTTTGTTTTTCGAGGCGAGAAAGGGCAAAGATTTATATGTATGGATGAGCAAGGTGCCCAATGGCCCGACAGTTAAATTTCACCTGCAAAACTGTGAGTGTTTTGCGAACGATTTGGTTCCCGAGGGCGACATCACGTACTAACGGCTCTGTTTGTAGTGCACACGATGGAGGAATTGCACTTCACTGGAAACTGCTTGAAGGGCTCAAGACCAATCCTTTCATTCGACGCCGCTTTCGAGACCCAACCGCATTTCCGCGTCATGAAGGAACTCTTCCTTCACACATTTGGCGTTCCGCAAGGCGCGCGAAAGTCCAAGCCATTTATCGACCATGTCATGGGCTTCAGCATTGCAGATGGCAAGATTTGGATTCGAAACTACCAAATCAGCGAGGTCGAGCAGACCAAATTGAAGGGTGGCGAGGAAGAACCCACAGTTGGCAAATCCAACACGGACATCAATCTCGTCGAAATCGGACCTAGATTCGTTCTCACGCCCCTGGTGATACAGGAGGGCTCGTTCGGTGGACCAATTATATACGAGAACAGAGAATTCGTCTCTCCCAACCAAATCAGAGCTGACATTCGGAGAGCAAAGGCCGCAAGGCACAACGGCAGGGTGGAGCAGGCAGTTGGCCGCGTGTCAAAGAAGGATGATCTGGGCCTCCTGTCCAACGGCAACCGACCTGCCAAGAACGAGCTGGATAAGACAACGCTGTTCGCATAGACGGTGTGAAGGTTGATAAGAATGATGGCGGGGATCTCCAAGACTTTGATTTGTATTTATCACAGGCGGCGCATAAAATGGATTACATGGCACGGCAGTCTTTCGTCTCGCAGTTACTTTCACAAACGCGTCCAGCACGCGCTGAGGCCATTTCCTTGCCAGATCAATAATTTAGACTGTTGGATTTTTTATATATTATGGATTGTGGTTATGCATTCAAATTTTGCCAATCATTACACACATGAGAGAGAGTTGCCGCCTTGAGTGTTTGAGATCAGCTTCCCGTGTATGCTCTAATACGTATTGCGCAGGATTCTCGATGTCGCGTTTTTCTTTTACCAATCACAACCCAGAAATTAAAGCAAACAATCTCAAAGAACAGAAAACCCGCACGAAAGCGGAACAAAGACAAAGGACATCGATTGGACGTTGGTTTGGTTTGCTGGTTTCTGATTTATTTCATGCTCATGTTACGCACCAGCCACCATCGCCGCAACTAGTGGCTGCAGCAAGGGCTAAAAAGTCCAAGCGCCAGACTTCTTAAGCCAGTGCAGCGTCACTTCACTAATGAACCAGTGCATCAACCCTTAAGTTCAGCCTCTACCTTATCCTGCACTGCACTTCTCCAGGTTACCTAATTTGACGGCCCCCGGTCAGCCCCCGAGGGCCATACGAGGCGACTCTTCTCGTACATACTCGATTTGAGGATATCGCTGGCATCTCGCGCCCTCGCCTGCGATTTTCTACGATTTGCTCTGAGAAGGGAGTGGCTGGGGTTGAGGTGAGGTGAGTTCGGCGGATGGCGATGCATTCACGTTTGCATCCATTTTCACTTTGGGCTTCACATTTCACAATGATGTTATCACTTTACTTATGGGGGGCTTCTTTTCTGGCCTGCACCGATATTCTGTTCTGCTATTCTGGCATTACTCCTCGGATACTGCCTCATCCCCTCAGTGACTCTTCCTACGCGTTTATCCCACCCTTCTCCTATGCCTGAGCGTTGCACATAGTCTTCTTCTTTTCTTTCTTTCTTCTTTCTCTATACAGTTCGTAGCTGTGGCAGTTTCATCTTTCGTCAACCCATGGCCTGAGCAATGCTAATGCTGTATTAGATTTACAAACTGCCTTCAACTTGCCAAGGGAAAAGCATAGCCAAAGGTCAAATTTGATACAGAGGCCTTAGGCCTGGGGGGGTCCAGCTCCATCACTTCGTGCGATATACTCACTGCCCGCTACTATTGGGTATATCATGGCTGGAAATGTAGCCATGGAGGAATCTGAAGACCATGTAATGGGGGACACCGACATGACAAGCCTCAATGGTCATGGAAGCGGAACCCAAATGAACGACGACGACACTGCCTCAGATAATAGCATATATCATGAGGATAGTGAGCCAAGCGTCATAGAGGACACCATTGTCAAGCTACAAGTGCGCCGCGGTTTGCTTCCCACCGGCTGCTGTTACGATGACCGAATGAAGCTTCACATGAATGCCGACTTCAGTCCAAATACCCACCATCCTGAGGATCCTCGGCGTATCCACGAAATATTCAAGGCCTTCAAAAGAATGGGGCTTGTCTATACGGGCCCAGAATCGGAGCTACCAAGAATTATGAAGGACTGTCCAACCAGGTACATGTGGAGGATTCCAGCTCGGCCTGCCACGCGGGAAGAGATTTGCCTGGCTCACTCCCCTGAGCACCTTGCTTGGGTGGAAAATTTGGACACAATCAGTACGGCTGAGCTTCGTTCATTGACAAGGCAATTCGACCAGGGCCGTGAATCTCTCTATGTCGGGAGCATGTCTTACCCTGCTGCCCTTTTGTCGGTTGGTGGCGCCATCGAAACCTGCAAAAGCGTGGTTACTGGACAAGTCAAAAACGCTTTTGCTGTTATCCGACCTCCTGGGCACCACGCTGAGTTTGATCAGCCCATGGGATTTTGCTTCTTCAACAACGTTCCCGTGGCAATCAGGGTGTGCCAACAAGACTATCCAGACCAATGCCGCAAAGTCCTCATCTTGGACTGGGACGTCCACCATGGCAACGGTACCCAAAACATCTTTTACCAGGATCCCAACGTCCTCTACATATCCATCCATGTCTACCAGAACGGACAGTTTTACCCTGGCAAACCACCGAATCCCATGACTCCTGATGGCGGTTTAGAACACTGCGGCACAGGACAAGGACTGGGCAAGAACATCAACATTGGCTGGCATGACCAAGGCATGGGTGACGGCGAATACATGGCGGCATTCCAAAAGATTGTGATGCCCATCGCAAAAGAGTTCAATCCGGATCTAGTGGTCATATCAGCGGGCTTCGACGCTGCAGACGGAGATGAGTTGGGTGGCTGCTTCGTTACACCTGCTTGCTACGCCCACATGACGCACATGCTCATGTCTCTCGCGGACGGCAAAGTTGCCGTCTGCCTAGAAGGCGGCTATAACCTCCAGGCAATTTCAAGCTCTGCGGTAGCCGTTGCAAGAACTTTGATGGGAGAACCGCCGCCAAAGCTCGCTCTCCCCAAGATTAACAAAGAGGCAGCCAGAACATTAGCGAAAGTGCAAGCGTATCAGGCCCCTTACTGGGAATGCATGCGGCCCGGAATCGTCGACGTGCCTGATGTTCAGTCTCTCAATGCAGACAGGCTTCATGATGTCATCAGAAACGCGCAGCGCCAAGTTATGCAGTCAAAATACGGCATGATCCCGCTCTACATACAGCGAGAGCTCATCTCAAAATCATTTGAAAATCAAGTGCTAGTCACACCAAACCTACACGATGCACAAAAGATTCTTGTCATTCTACATGATCCGTACGTATAGCCGCTTTGCCCCTTTTTGTCTCAGCAGGTAACTCAATTTTGTCACAGGCCTCAATTACTAGCCCAAGTGGATGTGGCAGAAACTACTGTAGATGCTCATAATACATGGGTGGTGAGTTACGCATCACATACGTGCATAAACGATCATAATATTGAGCTGACTGCGCAGGTTGACGGGGTAATGGAATACATTGGGTGGGCCGTTGGCCAAAACTTTGGTGTCATGGATATCAATGTTCCAGCTTATGTTACCCATGAAGAGGTAGGCACTTTTGGCTCTGTTTCTGACTCTTACCGCTTCACCGGTTAATCTAATGCTGGACATAGGACATTGATGCTTTCACCCCTGAATTTAACGAGAAGGAGATCCAGGAGCAAATCTTGTCGCTAATTTGCTATCTCTGGGATAACTTTCTCCAGCTTTACGAAACCAACGAAATTGTCTTGCTTGGCGTCGGCAATGCATACCTTGGAGTTAAAGTTCTCTTGATAAACAGAGGTAAGCGAAGCTACGCCCACCTTGTAGGCCATACCTGCTGATCTAAACTGTCTGCAGACTGCAAAGACAAGATTGCGGGAATTGTCAACTTTGTGACCGGCAACCTGAGACCCGTCAAGTCTGACGTTGACAACGAACTCTCATCTTGGTACAAGGAAAACTCGCGCGTCTACGTGGCGGGAGACCATGCCTGCTGGTCCGACCCCGACTTGACACGAAAAGTCCACAAGAGACGCTTCGGAACGGTCGTGCGCAGCAAGATGGCTGGGCTCAACCACATGATGCAAGCGCACGCCGAGGAAGCCCACGAATGGATCTTGAAAAGAGTGACTAACAATCCCGACGGAGACACGACTGAGGAGGACAACCCTTGAAACTTTTCGACTTGCCGTGCGCCATTGCCATGGGCCGGTGTTTTGTTGTTGGCTAACTAACTAACTAACTAACCAATACTTCGTTATATGAGAACCTTTTCCCGTTGCCATCTCTGAGTCAGGTGTTGCAATGAGCTTCTTCGCTGACGCTTGTCATTGTATTACATAGAAACCTTAAAATAATAAGCGGGATGCTCCGCAGGCACATCCCTTTTCGTATCAAATCAGGCCAAGCCGACAAAGCAGAGGACATGACAAGTGCACCACGGATGATGCGGAGTTTGAGTTCTGCTATGCAAAACCAGTTCAACATAATCTACCAATGCCGATAACCCTACTTGCTTGCTTGCCTACTAATACCAATACCTAGGCAATCTCGCCACGGTGGAGTTTGACCTGCGGGGGCCCCAGCTCCTGATCCCAACCAAAATGAACTGCAGCTATCACCAACGGAGGAATCCGTAAAAGATGCCCGTGGCCCCCCCAAGCCTGCTCCATGGCTTTCTCCCTCCACCCCCTTGCACGGAGAGTGTCTTGAGCCGGCTTGCCCCCACTATCTGACAAGCGGCAGTCGATTCGGAAAGCCTGCCTCCTTTGATATCTGCTCATGCTGGTAGATTGGATGTGCCTGGATCCGATGCCCCGGTGCTGCACCGCATGTTGATACCCGTTTGCGTGAATAAGATGGATGCATATTATCAGGTATTATAAACAGACTGTGCATATGCTGTACAATTGAGTGTGATGTATCTGGCAAAGCAACGTCTTTCTTACAGTAACAACCTGAGAGATGTCTATTTCGTACTGTACATACTGTACTTGCCTAGATAGCATCCAGTAATACCTTACCCTGATACTTTATAAAGCTGACGATGTTAACCCCACGCTCATCTCGGGAAGCTGGATCAGCCAGATCATTGGGGCGGTGCTCAAGCAAAATACTAAACATTGTTGCCCTACAATCAGAGCTACATACTAAACTAAATCCATACTATCTCCGGCCAGGCTAAACGGGAGGCGTCGAGAAAGACCCCACATGCCACCTACCGTGATGTCTTCCCGGGCGGTTCTGGAGACTTGCCGCGGAAGTCCGTCACTCGGATTGGTGTATTTCCTTTCTGGGGGTGCTTTGCACAAGTGCCAATGTATGACTGCGTTTATTTGCCTAGGTAGGAATATTATCACGGAATAAGTGATAAGAGAGTGTTTATTTTATTCCGTAACATATGTATACACAGCTCATGGTAAGGTACCGGAATCATTTCGTCCGAATTAGGGCGTTGATGTCGTCGTATTTGCCCTTTACGGCTGCAGAGTATGAGTAAAGAGAGCCCATGACTTATTAAGACATACATTACCGGGAAATACATCTCGATCAAGGCAGTGATTATCAATACAGTCCCGTTTATTGGCTGCTTTTATTCTATTTCACGAATTCATACTCGTACTAATACCACCTTACTAGAACAGAACAGATCAATAGATTACATGAATATTCTATTCGTATGCCATCTCCAGCTGCTCCGCAAAATCCTCTCCCCCCCCCGGACCGAAGTCACTAGTACTAGCCGGGAAAGACTTTGTGGCACGAATGGCGGCTCTTGGCCTGCGGCGCTGATGGTCCCATGTACATGTATGAGGTACCCGTACAGACCACCCGACATCATTTACCTTACCTTAGCTCTTGGAACCGCCCTTCTCCGCTCTACTCCCGAATCCTTTGCCGTGATTTTAGTGCCGCTTCCCACTTCCCACCTCTTTGCCATGAACAAACCAGTTGCCAGTCCAGCGGCCCCCTCACGGATTCGGCCTGGAATCAGACTCCCGTGTCGAGTCCCGATAATGTTATCATGGACGGAACATAGTTTCTCTTTTTGTCTCCTCGGCACTTGAATGCTGGACTTGCGCTTCTCTTTCTGAATTCACTGTTGTTTATATCTTCTTCTACTCGTCCTGCATCTACACCTGCTGATCTCGATCTCATTACGTGCCATCTTGATTACCTATTTCATATTCCCATTTTTGGCTTACACATCAATCGTCGTGCTTCTGCTCTCTATCTGAGCGCTCGTGTACAAGCGTCTCCGTGCCTTCGCCTTGTCTTGCGCCTGTTCCATCGCCGAGGAGAGCCATGTCTCCCGCTCTTGTGTGTCAAGATGCGTCTCAAAACTATGACGTCGGTACGATCATACCGCGAATCCCCCCAGCAGCCACACGGCTCAATGTACTAACTCGATTGCGGCGGCAGTGATTGTGGGTGCCGGGCCTGTGGGATTGATGCTCTCTACATGTCTGTCTCGATGGGGCTATCGCATAAAGCACATCGATAACAGACCAGAGCCTACAGCGACTGGTCGGGCTGATGGCATCCAGCCTCGCTCTCTCGACCTGCTGCGGAACATGGGGCTGAAGTCTGCCATCATGGCCCATAAGCCCGCCCGTGTCTATGAAGTCGCATTCTGGGACCCTTCAGAATCAAGCAAGGGTATTGCCAGGACAGGGACCTGGGCCAGCTGCCCCAACTTCATCGACGCCCGCTATCCCTTCACCACACTGCTACACCAAGGCCACATCGAGAGGGCTTTCATCGCAGACCTTGAGAAGAACGGCACCGAGATCCAGCGGCCCTGGACAATCACGGGCTTCCAATCTCGCAGCCCCCAGACATATGAATATCCCGTCCAAGTTGAACTGGAACACGTCAACGGCGCGGAAAAGGAAACCGTGTTCGCAAAGTACCTCTTTGGAGGCGAGGGCGCAAGATCCTTTGTCAGACAGCAGCTGAACATCGGATTTACGCATAAAGATCCGATCGCGTATGTCTGGGGTGTAATGGACGGTGTGGTCAAGACTGATTTCCCTGATATCAAGGTCAGCCTTTCTGCCCCCTGCTTTCCCTCTTTTCCTAACTTAAAATGCTAACCTTCCTTGTAGATGAAGTGTACGATACGCAGCCAGCATGGCTCCATCATGGTCATCCCTCGTGAGGACAACATGGTTCGCCTCTACATCCAGATCGCGTCCTCCACGGATGCCGACTGGAGCCCAAGAAAGACAGCCACTGAAGCAGAGGTACAAGCTTCCGCCAAGAAAATTCTACAGCCCTACTCGATCGAGTGGGAGCATGTAGAATGGTATTCTGTCTACCCTATTGGCCAGGGAATCTCTGATAAATATACCTTGGATGAGCGAGTTTTCTTAGGTGGCGACGCCTGTCACACCCACAGTGTAAGTGACTCCCATATTACTCCTTAGTATGTATAATTCAGGAACTAAGAATGTGAATCCAGCCCAAAGCCGGCCAGGGAATGAACACTGCCTTTTTGGATGCGCTAAACTTGGCTTGGAAGATCCATGCCGTGGAGGGCGGCCTCGCAGACCGAGCCATTCTCAAGACATACGAGTCTGAGCGAAAAGCAGTGGCCGAATCACTACTAGACTTTGACAATCGATATGCGAAGCTCTTCTCCCAACGGCCACCCGCCGCTTCCGAAGTTCAGGCCGCCTCGGAAACAATACCAGATGCAGACCTAGATGCCGACAATGCCTTCATCAGGACGTTCAAAGAATCCTGCGAATTTACCAGCGGCTACGGCGTTTCGTATCAGCCTAATGCATTAAACTGGTCTCTAGAGCACCCAGCACAGTCGTCTCTCATGCAGCCAAGCGGCACAAAGCTGCAATCCGGACGTTTATTCGTAATTGCAGACGTGACAAGAGTTGTCGATGCCAACGTGGTACACTTGGAGCAAGAGATACCGCTCAACGGGTCGTTCCGCATCTTCATCTTCGCCGGAGAGCCAGTCAAGAACCGTGCCGCTATCCGCGACCTAGCAGACAACTTGGCTAGCGCCGATTCATTCTATTCAGCATACACTCGGCCGGATGTCGATCAAGTCTCGCATCACGAGAAGCACAACCCACATAGCATGTTCTTCACGCTGTGTACCATTTTCGCCGCTAAGAGACATCGTATCGAGATCCCAAGAGACGCACCTGGCGCTTTGGCCCGTTATCGCGACCACGTCTATGCGGACGACAGATGGGATCGCCGTGTACCTGATGCACAGGCATCGGCGCACGCAAAGATGGGTCTCGACGAAGAGAAGGGCGGCGTGGTTGTTGTTCGACCAGACGGCTACATCGGCATGGTAGCATCTCTAGTAGAAGGCACAGGCACTATTGACGCCCTCAACGCCTATTTTTCAGCATTTTGCACCAAGAAGTTCGGAAGCGCTGCCTAGAGCCTTTGGCGTGCTCGCGCGGGAATAGAAGCGGTACTGGTATTTATTTATTTTACATCTTGCACCTGTCATTTTACAATTTTTACGGTACTACTGGACATATTATCATGTGTAGCACCTGCGTCTCTTACAGAAGCTGCTGGATATAGCTTACGTGTTTAATGAATATATCTTGAACCTTTGTACTCTAGTTGAATGTGATAAACTCCCATGGCAACGGAAATCTCGAAAGCATCACGTCTATTGCATACGCGGCCATTGAATGAGTCATATATTAAGCTTCTTCCATGAGATAATGTTGTACATGGCAATAGCAACGGGAACCTTATCGAGGAGAAAGTATAAATGGGCAGATTTAAAGATACGGTTAGATAGAGCGCACGTACCACGGCGAGATTCGGCGACGCGTAATAGAGATAGCAAAGACGCGCGCGTTTGTAGATATCTAGCTGCCTTGGCGAGCGTGCTAGATTGATATGGGCATCTCGACGTATCTGGTGGGATTTGTTTCTGCCAATGATAGCCCAGCGCGAATAATGAATATATGATGCCTACTGGTATGCCTACCGTAATAAATTGGTATATGTCTCAAGTAACCACAGCGGTCTTATAACCATAGTATTTTTTCTGCCCGTTGTTACAAACAATTGTATATATACTTTCAACCGAATCATAATTGAAGTCACATTTGTTGATTTCTCCGCATTTCAGCAAGTATACATAGAATTGTGCCATCTCTCATGCCTTTCAATGAGACACCAGCGCCTAAGATTAATTGCCACAGGCCAACACCAAACGATAAGCAGTGGTAATAATAGCAGATATCTCGAGAGCTGGGTAGCTACCACGAACTAGATCATGGGAGTAGTTACTCAGCACTGTCGAATGGCTATTCAGCATCCCAGCGTGCGTAGTTTGGGCATTATCGAATCAGGATGTGAAAGAAGGCTGTTTATGTACTACTACGAAAATTTATTCAAGTAACAAATATCTAGTTTCTTTAGTGTTTGCTAGTATAGCTATATTTGTATAATCTGTGCTGGTATATCAACATTTCTCTAGTATCTGCTACTATATCTACTTACATATTTTTGGCATTTATTTATTACTATAACTGTATTCGCCAAGTACTTGGCATTATTTACGAATACCAAAATTGGGGTGCTGAATAGACATTTCCCTCGATTATAATTGGGGGGTTCCATTCGCATCCTGGTCCGATAGTTGAACCTGACGCAGCCGCTGCAGCGACCGACACTGTACGCCAATGAATCTGTCAGGCGGCAATCGAGTTAAAGTTGGCCAATCAAAAACCGCCTCCTCCGCGCGGCTGAGAAAGTAGGGCTGCCCCGAGGTTCTGCCGGGTAATTGATTTGAACGACCCGCCACCCGCCGGGCGACTCACCTGCAACTCACCTGCTATTAACTATGGGCTTCAACGATGTGCCTATAGCGTCATCAGCTCTCCGCGACAACGCGACCGCCGACAAACTCTGCCTTATCAACCTTCGAAATATGCTTCCTCTTCGCAAAGCATAATTCGCACGACGCGTCCTCTGCGCACGGACAGATCAGCAGGGCGCTCTCTCTTCTGTTATTTATTTAGCCTTCCCTCCCCCCCGACTCTTCTTTCTTTTTCCGTAAGTTGCTTCCGATTTTCTCGCTACCAACTTTTTGATCCCGCGCTCTTGCTTTACAACTTGTTTTTGAATCCACTTGCCTTAATTAAATTCACCAAGATGCCGACCATTCTCCCCCGCAGCTTCTCGCTGCTGGTGAGGCTCAGGTCTCCTTTCTTCAACAAACTTCTGGCTAACCCTCTTCTCAGTATCTTCTCTTCATCGTAGAGTTCATTCAAGTCTCTGCCATGGCGCTGATGCTAGCATCTGCCGCAATTTCCGGCGTTGGGCTCTTTGGTAAGTCATCTGCCTCTTTTCTCTCTTTTTCTTTTCCAAGCCTGGCCATACTAACTTTCTCCTCTAGTCTACAGAAGCTCAAGTCGCCTTCACACAGCCTGTACCAATTTTCTTCCAGATTATGAGGCCCAAGATTCCGATGATGGCATTTCTCGCAAACGTCGCAAGGTCAGGCGCCCCGAGGTCCTCGGCAACTCTGAGAAAACAGAACCACCTATCCCAACAGAGACATATTTCGACGCCCTTGAAAGCGCCACAGAGCCCCCAAAGGAACACGAGGTTAATGACAACACTTCCATTACTTATTACAAGGACGAAGACACCGACTTCCTTGACTATCTAGATATGGAAGCTGGCGGCCAGGAGGATATGTGGCCTGGGCCCGGACCCCTGGTTTATAATAAGGCAAAGCCAGGGCCGTCACCAAGTGTTTCTTCCATCGGCGACATCTTTGAAGAGCTTGGCATTTCAGCCTTCGATCTCAACGACGGATATGAAGACGACGAACCCAAGATTACTTGGATTGACGACGATAACGAGCTTAATGAGCTTGCTAGAGGCTTGGCTCAGCGTTACCGATCAGCTCGCGCAGGGAAGCAACCAGTTGTAGCACCACCAGCGCCAAAGCCCGATCCTGCCGGACGAATCGAAGAGCTCATGGCCTTGCCCTCCGTCGAAACCCTCAAGATCAGCGACGAATCAAAAGCCGAGGTCGAGACTTTGCAAGCAAAGGCAGCAGAAACTCGCCTGGTTGACCAACAACGTGAGAAGCTAGCCAAGGAGAGGTTCCTGCGAGACCAGGCCCTGCAAAAGTTGAAGGAAAGAACAGCCAAGGGACCTCGTCAACCCGTGGTGGCTCCTCTCAGCGACCAATGGATAGAGAAGATTGTGAATACGATTGAGCTTTCAGAAACAGATGTGGTGGCCACAACATGTCAGGGAACACCTCTTCGCCGGCACGATTTCGCCACAGTGGTTGCAGCTAAGACCTGGCTGAACGACGAGATCGTCAACGGAGCACTCGCAGAGTTGGAGAAGCAAATCAACTTGGTGGCTGGCATCACCGACTACAAGCAACAGGGTCGCAAATGCCTTGTTATGAATTCATTTTTCTGGCCTCGAGTCAAAGAGGCAGGCGGCAAAAAGACACAATCCATCCTCCGTCGCATGGGCGTCACTCCGAAAAACCTCTTATTGATGGATACAATCCTGATTCCTATCTGCCAAGAGTATCACTGGACACTTGTGGTGGTTCAGCCCAAGCAACGAAAAGTGATGCACCTCGACTCATTCAACCGACCCTCATCTCACCCCAATTTGGCACTCGCATGGATGTCAGACTATTTGGGCGATCTCTATCATGCCAAGCCATGGGAGGTGGTTGTTTTGAAGACCCCTCAACAGAACAACGGCTACGACTGCGGTGTACACGTCATTACAAACGGCGTCTGTCTTGCTTTGGGGCTCGACCCCCTCCAGAGCTACAATGTGGGGGAAATGGCCCTCCAAAGGCTGAGAATCGCGGGAATGTTGTTGAACGGGGGGTTTGTGGGGGATTTTGACCTCTGGCAGCAGTAGCTGCGTTTTTTTTCGTTTTTTTTTTCGTTGTTGTTTTGTTGTTTTGGTTTTGTTTTCTTTAGTTTTAGCAAGGCGTTGGGAGAGTCGGGTAGTATAATATATCTTTTCATCGCAATGAACAAATGTTTTGGGACATGGACAGGAATAAGACAGCATATTACTATACCAGAGACATGGGCAGACGATACGGTACGACTAAGTAGACAACAATGGGTTACATATTTCCAATTGAATACGCTACTGTAGTTTACATCTGGTTCAAGCGTCTTGTACTGTGACTGCTCTGGTCACGGACACTACCCTGTGTTGCTCGTGATTGCTGCTTTCTCTAGTATCTTCTACTCTCGGTAGGCTTCTCTAGTATCTGCTACTACCGGTGAGTTTCTCTAGCATCTGCTACTCTGGATACGGGCACTTTGTCAAGAGGAGTACTGATGCCATCACCGGATTCTTAAGTGGTGTCTGCTGCGATTGCCAAATTCCCGGGCTAAGTTAAACTGTTATCGGGGCTTGCTCTCAGATTCTACTTTCTTCTTCCGTAATTTGCTCTCGACTTTGCTCTCAACTTTTCTTACTCTCAGCTCTTTTTGCTCTCAGCTATCTTTTATAGTATTGATCTGCCGTTAGAGTTGTGTACATACTTTCTCTAGTAGCTGCCACCCATCGCCACATCCTGTACTGTCTGCTACTAGGATGACCACTTTTCTCTGGCACCTCGCATGAAGCAAAAGGTAAGCGGCAGACATGGTGAGACTTTAATAGATAGCTTCCCCGGACGTCATGTAATCTCATATGTAGGTAATTTAGGGACAGGGTCTCACATGGAATTGTGCTACGGTTGTCGTGTACCTACCATTACCTGGTCGTACTCGCACTAGCACTTGGCACACTGTACATGGGATAATCATGTCAGCTCTTGATGAACCTACCTTGCGAGGTTAAATACAAACTCTATTATTAGTAGTAGCAGTAATAGTAGTAATAACTAGAATCTGATGCCTTCAAATCCATGCATGTACTATCAATCCCTTCTTGCTACCGTAATACTGCTAGTTCGTTCACCGGTGCGCCTATATATAGGTGGATTGAGAAAGGTTGACATGTCGCTAGCCCAGAAGCAGCATCTGCTCTCCACAAGCTGCAACCCTTTTGAGAACAAGACAGTCCTATGCTAAATTTACCACACTGGAGCGGTGTACAAAGAAGCATGGGCTTCCATTGCCTTGTGCCTGTGTTTTGGGTCGGGCTGTCCGGTGAGTGAGACCAAGGACTTACAGTAAGGCGACATGACATGAGCGAGTGCGAGTGTCCGTGTCCATGTCCATCCCGTCACTGAATCGCTGCTCTGCTGCAATGGCCCGTTTCTTGTCTTGTCATGTCACGGGGGAGGTGAGTTTTGTTGGCCTGTGCCACATATGACGCCTACGTGGCAGGAGATTTGCATAAAATCGCTGCCAATGACAGGACAAAGTGTATACAGGGTAAATCAGCGCGAAGCAAGGCAGAAGGCCAGTTTAGTCAAGCAAGGCAAGGGGTTAGGTTTTGTTTTTTCGAGCGTGCGTGCGTTGCGCTGCAGTTGTGTCTACATGTAATTTGATGTCAACGGGTGACGTGCGTGGAGGGAAGAAAGTCGCAGAAAACGAGGCGTGCCAACCAGAAGGTTACAGCGCACACTTTCTTGGAAAGTTGGTTTCAATCCATTCTCTCACACTTGGAAATAGAGGTAGCAGTAGCAGTCAGGTAGTAGCCAATGGTACAGTCGAGGTACAGCGCCATCGGAGCCGGGTCGCAGCTGTTTGCAACGTACCCGCAAGGTAGCAGACGGTAATGCAAATACTTGGACGGAGCACTTGGGGACCGACCTGTTCCCACTGCATTTTTAGGGCCACTGCGCTCGCTGTGGTTGGCGGCACGTTGCATCGTTATGACAAGGCGGCGTCGAATCGTCATCCCGGCCATGGCACGATTCAGGCCCGGGGATGTGACGAGTCGACATAGCCACCAGCCACCCAATCATGTCGGGTGACGCGCTGCCAAATGGGGACGCGCGCCCTTTGGTCGAAAAGCAAGGATCACCGGCTTGCTGAGGCTTTCCTCTTTCTAGCGCCTTTCTAGTAGGTATAGCGGCCTGGTGAGACCAAAGAGACTCAACTTCAGTGCTGTTTTAGCCCGGTGCAGCTTCCAGCGGCCTTCTAGTGCGTCCCGGCCGGTGGCTTGGGCCTTGTGCGAGTTCGCTATCGCCGACTGGCCGGTGCGGTCATGGTCGTTGCCCCTCACCAGGTTTCTGGAGCCTCTGGAGCCCGCGGGGGCCACATGACTGGACTGGACTGGGACTGGGTACCTTGGCGATACGAGCGACCACAGCGGTTTGCGAGCCAAGTGCCTGCGCTGGGCCAGCGGTCAGGAAGTCCACCAAGGTACCCCGCAGGCTCCGTTCTCCTTGTTCGCGCCTTCTCGACGACGACGACGCTTCGCCTCTTTTTTTTTTCTTCTACTAATTCTTTTTTTTTTCGGGGTCGCCCGCTCCTTCCCTGCTGGTGCAAGAGAGGGAGAGATCCGATCGAATGGGGAAATAAGATGGAAGTCGAGAGTGCCTTATGTAAAAACCTGACCACCGGCAGGATGGAATCACCAGAATCACCAGACTTGTCTCCGGGTCTTTCCTCTTGTCCTGCCCTTTCCTGCAGGACAGGGAGAGCTGCCTGCACACCGAGGTACCTGGATACTCCGTGTGGTGAGGGGCAGGCAGCGTGCGTCCGAGGTACTGCCAGGCTGCCAGGTACTTGGGACGGCAGTGCACAAGCTCCGTACTTGGCGCGCCCTGCCCTTTGGTCCAGCTTTGGGAAGAGATCTCCGTTCCGGCTGCCTATCCTCCGCTTTCGTGCAGCTGGGGGGAGGGTTAAAGACGGCTTTCGGTCAAGAGTCGAATCGGTCCTGATTCAGGAGGGAGAGAACTTTTCTTTTCCTTTTTTTCTCTTTTTTGCCTCCTCTCGTACCTCGTTTATTTCCCGTTCCGACATGGCCATGGCACGACATGCACCTTTTTGTAAAACCCCGCTGCCCGCCTGCAACGGAGAAACTATTCCATGCCTAGGTCCTAGGTAAAAAAATTTGGCTTTTAAGGCTGCTAGGCGATGCCGGTACTAACGAATGTGCCGGGATTTGAGTTTTGGGTTTGCATTGTCAGGTCAGGTCAGGTCGGGTTCGGGTCAGGCCAGGTCAGGTTTCGTCGCATTTCGCCCCCCGACCGGAAGCAGGATAGAAGGGGGGCGGAGAAAAAAAAAAGAATCAGATTGGAACTACGAAAGAACATTAGCACAAGAAACACAGCAGAGCCACGGAGCCACAGAGCCACCGAAACGCCAGAGCCTGTGGACTTCCTTGTTACTGTAGAACCGCTAGAACCACTAGAACCTTAGCACAAACCACTGACAGCACGCCGGAACCCAAAAGCAGACAGCAAGCAGCAGGGCCAGTGCAGGGCTCCCCCCCAAGTACCCCCTCCGATCCCCGATAGGCCTCGCTGATTTTAGCTCGCAGCCACCACGGCCAGGGATCCACCCGCCTGTGCATCTGTGCCTCTGCCCCCGCCACCCACATCCAGGCGCTGGGATACCTGTAGTCCTGTACGGTACGGGTACTTGCCTGTGCGGTGCCTGCTCTGCTCGTACATGACTGGACTGGACTGGACTGGCACTGGAACTTACAAAAGACTTCAGTCGTGCTGTTTTCCGCCACCCTGCATTCGGATGCCTCGCCTCCAGTCCTGGACTTTGACTTGAATCTCTGCACGCCACAAAGACGATCCGTCCTCACCGCCGTCGTTCCTTGCCTTGCTTACTTACCACTTGAGCCGCCGTTTGTTCTAATCCGTCATCCGTCATTCACATCCATTCATATTCATATCTTCTGCTCGACGCCCCCGGCCTTTCGGACTCGTCTCGGTTTCTGCTCTGCCTCCTCTTCGCCCTTCTCGTCGCTCTTCTCGCTGTCCGAAATCACATACCGACAGTATTTCAAATTCTCTGCCTTGTTGTTGTGATCCGTCTCGACTTGACGTGACTTGACCTGCTCCTCACCGGGCCAGTGGATCCAAGGATTACGTGACCTTGTTAGAGTTGGCCTGGCTTTTGGCTTTGGCTTTCCCATCACCGAGTCTGCCTGCATTCTTACGAGTACTCTCTTCTTCTCCGTCTGCTTCCGACTCGGCATTGCTTTGCGGCACAGCTTCGAGGCCGCTCATTCACTGTCGTTTGCGTCGCTTCCGGATGATCAAGGACGATACCCGTCGACTGACTTAATCGGTCCATTTCGCGTCAAATCCGAGCAGCGACCTTCTGTCATTCACCCTGCAGCCCAAGATTATAATTGCTTGTGCTTTCCCAGAGTTCTTTTGGTAAGGGCCTGTCTAGAGCGCTCTTACCAGAAGCCCCAGGGAACGCACATTGCAATTAGGCACGCTGGTGCGATATCGCATAGATATGGTTAATCCAAGGATACGGCAGCCAGTTGGAGCCCTACTCACAATCCCCAAGCAGCAGCCACGGCCCTTGTCTGCTTTCGAAGACTTCAATGAATCATCATACTCACCCTACTCACGCCCAACTAGCTTCTCCTCTTCGTCTGAAGCTTCATCTCCTCGATACAACATGACGGGTCGCCCACCGACCCTCAACGAGATTCTTCTCGATACCGCCCCTCCGCCATGGACACTGAGTGCCTTCATGGCCTACCTCTCCCAAAACCACTGCATGGAGACGCTCGAATTCACTCTTGATGCTCAGCGCTATGCTTCCGTCTACGAACAGTCCCTCGCTGACGCCACCTCCGCGGATGACGGCAGGGAGAGGGTTTGTGCATGGTGGGAGAAGCTGATGCAGGTCTACATAGTCCCCTGCGCGCCTCGCGAAGTGAACATTCCTGCTCAGGTTCGAGATCGCCTCCTTCGCGTGCCCTATGGCCCCAACCCCCCTCACCCGTCCGAGCTGGCCGAAGCCGGACGCATCATCTACGAACTCATGAACGACTCCGTTTTGGTTCCTTTCTTGCAGTCTGTCGCTACCCCCGCAACAGAGCTGCATCACGATTTCCATCTGGGATCGCCCCAAGCATCTTCTGATCGAACATCGCCCTCCAGTGGCGCGGATGTCGAGCCCTTGTCAGCCGATAGTGAAGGCAATTCACCGTCAGTCACGGAACCCATGACACCCCCTACCACGCCGCCTACCTCAGAGTGGACTTTTAGTGCCACGCATGGTGGCTTTCATCGTGCCGTAGCAGCGCACAACAAGGGCTGGAAAAAGGTTGGCGCAAAGCTGGGCTTCAATCGCAAGAGCTCTAATCGGAGAACAACACCGACATCTTCGGGACCCGAATCTGGAGAGTCGAGCTACAACCCCAGCAGCAATTCATCGTTTTGAAGCGTGTGCCAAGAAGGCTGATTTGCAGCCACCTGTCGCTTGTCATCTCTTACGCGAGACACTACCGAGTAGTCCGACATTATCAATCTACACCTGACAAGGGACTTCCCCGCGATTACTCGGCCACCACAACGGCGCTATACTGGAATCTGCTTGCGGGGTACAATACGGTCATGCAGCAGGCCTTATCAGGTTCTCTTGTCGTAGTCGCCATCATAAATCCCTTGAGCCGCTCTCTCCATGCCATTTTTAGCATTGGCAAGGTGTGGCGCCTCTCGGGTCGTCCACCCATACAAACCGGGGCTCTTGGCCCTCTTCGATCATCGACTGCTGTCTATGTCGAAGGATTATCAAATTTCAACGTCTTAGTTGACTGACTCAGTATATCTGCAGTCATCGCTCAAATTTTCAAAGCAAGCCTCAGAGTGGTCGCTCAGTTCCAATCTGTTGCGTCCTAATACCCTTCATCACTAGGCGAAGTCAACCGGCAACTGCCTGAATTGACTTTTTTGCAGCTAAATGCTCTAAATCTCTAAAGCATGGAAGATTCTCTCATTTCACTTTATCCCCTTCCTATCGATGGGGATTGTACACCATATGTTCGAATTCGAGACTGCACTGTGAGAGTTTTCGAGACTCCCCCTGCCGGTCTCCATCTTAATAGATGACCCTCATGCAAGCGTGCTATTCAATTTACGAAATCATGGGAACCACGGCCTTTTCACAAGTCGGACGGAGTTTATCAGGGGTCTGGCGGGTACACATATACATTGTATTGGCGTTATTTCTTTTGTTTTTTTCTGGTCGATGGAATTATCAAGGCGTGCGTGCATGGATGATACATGATGTCTTTTTTTTTTGTTCTTTCAAATTCACCATCAACGGGATCCCGCGGCAAATGAACATCAATCTAATGTTTATTGTCAGTAAATAGAGATAGGCCGATGAATAGATGCCTGAACGGGAAATATCTCGTCAGGATGTCAAGTGTGGATTGAATCAACTCTCTTTCGTGACCTACTGATTATTATATGTGCTGCTATCGTTAGTCAGGAAGACAAGACGGCATGGGAAGTAATTGCGCTGAGAATGTAGCGGATAATGATTTCATGTTTCTATCCAAGTATCACAATTGAGACGTTACAACTACTACCTAGTGGCTACCTATTCTATACATGTTGTTTTTCCCTTCTAATGACATTCCCATTCCCGAAATATATATGATAGCGTCTATTTCACCTCTTCTCTCCTTTTTGCTTCTCAGAACAGCGCCCAGTGTTTCCCTAAAGCGCGGGCTATATCAGTGATTGGTTTCGCTGTACTTTTTCTCATGGTTGAATCTCAAAAACGTCAAGATGCAGATATTAGATCCGGCATGCACTATAACACATGAATATTATCAAAGCATTTGGTAATCCTTTTGTAACCAAGTAAAGGATACTTTCGTCCATTTCAAATCGTAGGGTTGCATCATCATCAACCCAGTGCCGCCTCCGATCCTCGTCTGCCGCCGGCAGCATCGGAAGCCCTTATTGCGTATACGCGGTAAGATAGGCCCCCCCTCCCCCTTCAAGGGTGAAACGCGCCATTCCTCGGCTGAGGAGATGTTTGGTAGCGACCAGTTTGCGTTGGCACCTCATTAAGGGGCAGCAGAGGCGTGCCACTCCGGGACTGCGTCATGTTTCGCGCGCTCCGATCGGCCTTGTTGCTTTCGCTAGTCCTGTCGTAGAGGTATAGACCGAGGAAGGTGAGCGCAATGCCCACGGCTTGCACAGAAGTCGTCGGGCTTCTGAACCAAATGATGGCCATGACGATGACGAACACGCGCTTGATGAGACTTGCGACGGAATAGGTGACGGGAGAAACCATGGACAACAGTATGAAGGCGATGATGTTTTGTCCAAAGTGGAACGTGCCGTTGAAAATAAACTCCAAGGTGAGACGGCCATGGTCCATGGCATTAGGCCTGTTGCTGAGGTCTACCGAGCCGTCATGCAGGAAATCTTTAATCAGGGTGATGCCCTCTGTCCAAAACCAAATCGGTACAGTCAGGGCAAAGGCCATGCCAGATGAGTAGCATAGCAAGTTGAGCTTGTCGAGCTTCTTGCTCGGGACCCCCGTGCCGTCGGCTTCGACTTTTGCAGCTTCGTTGAACAGCTTCTTGGAAAAGATGTTCTGCGTTACAAAGATGAGCGTCGCCAGGAGCGCCTCCAGGACGCCAAGCAATTGGCCGCCATAGTTTGATTCACTAGAGCAAGCCAGCATAACCCCGATAGTCAGGGGAATCAAGGAGAGGTAGGTCGTTGTCGGGTATCGAATGTTGTATATCAATCGGTATGCGAGTACAGTGAAGAGCGGCGAGAGGCCCTTTATGGTGTGGACAAGCGAAACGGGGATTTTAGCTGTGGCGGTCGAGCTGAGCAGATGGCCGCCAATTTGGAAGAAGGCGAGGGGCAGCGTTGTCATGATGACTTCTCGGCTGGGTTCGCGGATGGGGTGTCGCAATGCAGAGATTTTGGTGCGCAGAACAGGGAAGATGCTGGCCAGCCAGGAGAGGAAAATGCAGAGCGAAGATACAAAGGCGAATTGGATCAATGTCAAGGTTGCTGGCATGTCAAAGGCGTTGAGGATGGACTTTGACGACGTGTTGGTCAGGGCAGATGAGGTGTACCACATGACGCAAAGAACCTGCAAAGAAGAAATTAACTTCCTCAACCTTTTGCATTATCATATACAAGATAGGATGTGACATACAACAAGCTTTGGGGACACGGGAGCCCGTAGCGCATCGGCGATTTCGTGGGCATTTTGGCTCATGCTGCCGTTCCTTGCGCGAATCGTTCGAAATGCATCGCCAAGACTCTTTTGGCGACTGTGCCCACGTCCCGAGGACGACCATGCATTTGCCGCAGGATAGCCATTGCTATGACCATTGCCGTTGCCGTTCGCGGAGCCGAGATCGTTCAAGCCATTGCTCCCCAGTGGTGTTGGTGATGCCGAGAGGCTTGGGAATTTCTCCATTGCGCAGCGGGCGCAACGACAGTGTTTCTATGCGATTCGCGAATTCAAGGATTCGATATATCTTCGTATGTAATATTTGAAGGCGATTGTCGAGTACAGAGGTCTCCGAGTGCGCAGCGGCTTGTGATGACGACGACTGGCAAACAATTCGGAGCAAACGTCAACGTTCGAGGCGGTGCTGGTGGGTTATGCCGCGATATCAATTGACATTTGGAACAGTGGACTGAAACGAGAGACTGGGTGTAAAAAGTAAGCTATCCATTACCACGGCAGAGCCATGCGAGTAAACAGCTTCCAGGGAAGAAGATAAGAAGAGAAATGTCGCTATAGAATCATGAGGGGGAGGAGAAAATACGAGGTCAGACAAGAGATAGAGGGTCACTCCCGCGGTGGAAAGGGGATCACCAGCGCGGCTTCAGGTCACTCAGAAGTCTTTGCCGCTGGAAAGGAGTGGCCGGCTTAGCGAATCTGCGCTGGACTAATCTTCCCGGTACCTGGAGCTATTACCCGATCTTCAGCCGACAGCCGCGCGCCCCACATGCTTTTGCGCGCGCTGGTCTTGGCAAAACACGATCGTTTTGGGTGCTTTTTCTTTTTCTTTTCTGGGTTGGAAAAGCTGCTGCCGCCGAGTAGGGGCTCTCACTGCTTCACCACCAACCTCATCGCCCTCCCCGCGACTTACCGGCTTACTTTATCCCGCAAAAGTCGCGAGTCGAGCTGTGTTCACCTACCCGTTATCGCTGCCTGATTAGCCACGCCCTCGCTTTTCTCCGAGATTCTGCCAGCTCGCCGCGGCATGGGAAGAGATCCAAAGCGATACGTTGTCGCTGTCACTGGTCTTTACGCCGTCTTCCAGCTCCTCACCCAGACGGCCAATCCATCCGCCTTCTCCAAGCCCAGCAGCCTGTCGCCGGCCTCAGCTTCACCATGGCGGCCCCAAAGATGACCAAGAACCAGATGCGGAGGGCGAAGAAGAAGGAACAGAAGAAGGCCAAGGCAGACGTCAGTCTCATCAATTCCACCTCTGCCACGCGTCGCACAATGCTTACGTTGATACAGACCGATCCAACCGAACAATCTGATGAGCCGACCGCCGAGAAGAGGGACGAATCGCCACAGCCGACTGATGATTCCGATGTCAAGGGTGCGGCTGACTTGGCTAAACCATCCGCTCCTGCTAGTGAACCGATCCAAGATGACCTGCTAGACGACGATCCTGCATTTGCCGCGTACAGAGACATATTCAACAAGTTTGGCCTCTCATTTGCGGATGACCAGATTGCCAAGGAAGCCAACGCTGGCAACCAGGGCGACGTATTCTTCGGTGACAATGATGATATTCCTGACGAGGAAGATGAGAACCCTCAACCAAAGCTATCAAAGAAGAAGCGAAAGCAGATGAACAAGCTCTCCGTTGCGCAGTTGAAGGCTCTTGTCAACATACCAGAGGTGGTTGAATGGCAAGATGTCTCATCTTCAGATCCACGACTCTTGGTACAAATCAAGGCGCAGCGAAACGTCGTCCCCGTACCGTCTCACTGGGCGATGAAGAGGGAATATCTATCATCAAAGAGGGGTATTGAGAAGTCAGCATTCCGGCTGCCAAAATTCATCGCCGAAACGGGGATTGCAGAGATGCGCGACGCAGTGTTGGAGAAACAGGCAGAGCAGACGCTGAAGCAGAAGCAGCGAGAGCGTGTCCAGCCAAAGATGGGCAAACTAGATATCGATTACCAGAAGCTTTACGATGCCTTTTTCCGCTTCCAGACAAAGCCAGAGCTGACGCGATTTGGCGAGGTTTACTACGAGGGCAAGGAAAGCGAGGTAGACTATCAGCATTTCCGTCCTGGAGATTTGAGCGATGCTACGAAGGAAGCGCTCGGCATGCCACCTGGAGCGCCTCCTCCATGGCTCATCAACCAACAGAGATTCGGCACCCCTCCTAGTTACCCGACCTTGAGAATACCTGGCTTGAACGC